AATTGTGAGATATAAATAACCCTTTTTATTCTTTATTTTATGGTGAAAAAAAAAAAAAAACTCAGAATACCTCAGATATGTTGTCTAATTTGCAAGAAATTGCAAGATGTAAACTCAGAATTCTGAAAAAAAATTCAGAAATGTGAGATAAACTCATAATTGTGAGATATAAAGTCACAAAAAAAGTCAAGAAAATAAGTCTGAATGCTGAGTTTAAATCTCACAATTCCCAGAAAAAAAAGTCAATTGCGAGAAAAATTTCCGAATTGTGAGATATAAAGTCACAATTGTAAGAAAAAAGAGTCGCAATCACCTCTTAAATTGTTTATTCCATGGCAGAAACAGGCTTCCATATTTATCTGCATGCACACTACATATAAACATCCCACACACTTGCACTTCATTAGTGAATTCACATCAATTCAATCAATTAAATCCAGTCAGTGTTGGATTAACGTCGTGCTCAAGTAATGAAAGTTTGATTGTTTCAGATGTAAGAGAGGTTATGATGGGGAACGCTGTGGGATCCAGCTTCTCGGGACGTCTCGGGATGAGAGCAGCACTGATAGGAGCCACACCGCGCTCGTCATTATGGCTGTCGTCCTGTCAGTCATCAGCTGCCTAGCCATTCTGCTCATGGTCTGCGTGCAGTAAGTACATTCAGTGCATGCATGCTAAATATACACCCACACACAAAACACACGCCTGGGTTATACTTGGCACATATTGTGACAGCAGTTTGGACGCACCTACTCATTCTTTATCATTATTAATACTATGAGGTTACTCTACCAGCTAACAAAACATGTTCTAGGAACATTTTGTTAACATTCTAATTAAGTTTCCTTTGTATCGTTTGTAAACATTCTGGGAATGTTGCTTTTGAATGTTTTCTGTAGTAACATCCCTGTTGAAAAAACCAGCACATGCTGGTTAGGTATGTTTTGATGCTGGTTGGAGCTGGTCCTTTGCTGGTTTAAGCTGGTCCTTTGCTGGTTTAAGCTGGTCCTTTCCTGGTTTAAGCTGGTCCTTTGCTGGTTTATGCTGGTCATGTGCTGGTCTTAAGCTGGTTGGACCAGTTTAGGACCAGCAAAGGACCAGCATAAACCAGCAAAGGAACAGCATCCCAGCTTCAAAACATACCTAACCAGCATATGCTGTTTTTTTCAACAGGGATGTACCTTATAAAAATGTTAGATGAATGTGCAACTAAAAAAAATGTTCCATGAACGATGTATAAATGTATTAGTTTTGTGTTAACTTTTTGAGAGCGTTATTAAAGACCAGATAACTTTGAATGAACATTCTATTAACATTACTAGAAGAATGTTTGTTCATAACTTGGAGTGAACCTTGCCAGAATGTTCCCTCTTAGATTTGTACTAGATTTGCTCAATCTGGACATTCATAAACCAACTTCGCAATGTTGGGATGCTTTTGTAGGAGTTCACGTGAATTCTGGATACTTGCTTTTTTATCACCCAAAATAAAAACAAGCAAAAAACATTTAGTTTTGTGAACGAAATATCCCATGTAGGAACTAGCCTTTAGATCAAAAGGTTTTTATATGTACAGAATACAGTAACCCAGACATTTACTATGTTCAAGGCCCCAACGTGGCAATATTCCAGCAATATTAAAAATGAAGTCCTCTGAGGTTGTTTTCACACTTAACATAAAGAAGAAATAACAAGATAATATTCAATTATCAAGCAAATGGAAATAAATAGGAAATGTTAAGAAGTAAGAGTGGATTTGAGTATTTGGCAGAATTGTTAACTTTAATATATTTTTTCGTTGTATTGTTGTTATATTTCAGCTATAGAACACATCACCGCTTTCAGGCGGCGTTCCTGAGCTCCACTAATGAGAGAGAGAAACTGGAGAAGAAGAACATCATGGTGTGAAGAGGAAGTAAGGCCAAGTCTTTATTTATGAGTTGCTAAATGTAAAAGAGACATTTAGGGTTGTGTTTGCTATGTAAAACTCCAGTCCCTTCTTCAGCATTAAAACAGTCTACAAAACCCCCATTTTACGCAATGTATTGTGGAATATAGGCATATAGACATTTTATGTCATAAAATAAATTGTTTTTGTTTCAGGTAGAATTCACGCTGATGTCACTGGTGTGGAGTGCACTACAGATATATTGCACATAGAATAATATAATAAAACCCACTGTAATAATATATTTATTGTTTGTACCTATTTATTAACTAATTATATAATTTCCTTAGTATTTGTTGTTTATTTTGATAATAAAAAACTAATGTTCATTTGATATGTGATGTTCATGTACACATATGAAATAAAGTACACTCTCATAAGATCTGTATCTTTCACTCATTCGGAGCGTTCTTATGTAAAACATTATTAAGAGTATAAGTTATTTAAGTCTTCAGACAGTATGTCAGTGAGGCGAAAACACTAATATTACAGCTATGAGTATTATTCACAGATGAAAGCAGACGTTCGACTCGTTCACTTTAAGCCTGATCAGGTGGAGTCTGTGGTGCCTCTCCCTGCAATTTTCTGCAAAGTTTCCTTCTCCCAATCATCTTTAATCCTTACGAGGGCTTATGTTTCATAACATAATAGAAGATTATATAAGAACAGATCAATCTGGAGGTGAGTGTTTGATCAACAAGTGTTTGGTAAATGGGGCAGGAGGGGAAAAATCTCCAGGTTTGGACATCATTATGGATGGTATTTTTACTCAAACAGTCATCCAAAGAGGCACAATCCAGAATTAGCTGCAGTAAATAACTGTACAACAATGAATGGCGTAACTAATTATGCAAAGCTAAACCACTTTCAATACTTTACTGCTGTGACTGAAATAACAGTAACAACCGATATAATAGTACTTAACAGATTACTAGTTGTTAAATGTATTTAAATACAAAAATTCTGATTCCTATATTTTTGCCTTAAAGGCTTGATTGTGTTTATGGGGTGCAGTCTAACATGTGTTAATGCTTCGTTTTTTAAAAAACGCATTATTTTTCACAAAATTTTACTTTATTCCACACCGCTCTGTCCCTTCTCTGAGAAACGGACTGATCTTTTCCTGTTTTTATGAAGCCCCTCCCTCAGAAATAGGCGATGGGCTCTGATTGGTTAGCTAGCCCAGTGTGTTGTGATTGGCTAAAGCGCCTCTAGTGCGCATCTAACTGTCCCGCCCCTCACCTCAGCGGCATATGCTCCGGTTGTATTGTAAACAACGGCATCGTTAATATCACTTATCAGTTTGAGCCCGATTGAGAAGCAGAGGATATTATTGAAGAGGAGCGTGCAGAACCTGTGCAAGCACGGCTTTTAATGGTAGGCCTTTGTTTTTTTGTTTGTTGTTGTCTCATACTTTTAGATACGCTGTTATTTGTAAGTGCTACTGCTTAGGTTAGCTTTTAATATACAGTGTTATCCCGATTAAAGCTTTAATACAGTACGGCAACTGCACACGCATCCATGTTTAACGCTTCTCATAGCTATGTGAAAATAAGCGTATAATTGTAACGGTTCATTGCTGGTGCTTTTGAACATTGATTTTGAAACTTGTGAATCCATTAGAATCGTTAGAAGACAGAATCGTGATTCATATATAAATATATATTTTACGTGCACCTCTAGTTTTCTCTTCCTCTTCTCTAAAGCAGGGCAGCATGGCCTCGCCCCCTTTGCTGCATGTTCCCGGGGGCGGGGTTTATCTGGGTTTGTGATGTCACGCACCCAGGAAGTAGCTCGTTGTAGTCCCTACCAGCAGTTTTTGTAGGCATTAAACTGCCAGAATTTTAAAAGACGATATCTCCGTTTGCATTGAACTTTCAGCTTCGTAACTTTGCAGATATTGTTTATGCTCAAACAGCAACATTACACACTAACTAACGTTAAAAAAGTGAAATCGCATTGAACCACCCCTTTAAATATTCATGTTGGAAATACATCCACTGCTGATCTGATCAATATAATGTTTGTTAACGACTACCGTATTACCATTAAAGTGCTACCATATTAACACATATTTATACTGTAGCATAATAATAAAAATAAAACCGTTAAAAAGTATAGGCTATCAAACATCCCAAATGGTCAGTGGCTGGTTTAGTTGAGATAGGACTTTTAATTTTATTGGCAAGACTAGAAACTAGTTAGTTGCGACTTCTTCTGGTCATATAGAGCGAACAGACATGCGCGATCTGGAAATGCATTTACGTATATGAAGATAAGCAGACATTGATATTGATTTATGTCAAAATGTTTGTCTCAGCACCAGAGCAGTAATATCATTTGGATACGTGTTCACCAAACTCAATAATAATATAATATATAATATAAAAATCATCTTAAAGTGACAAACAAGAGCATATAACGAAAAACAAAACTTAAAAATAAATGAATTAATAAGAAAAACAATACACATGTAATGATGTATTAGAATATGCAAACAACACATTAAATAAATCTACAAATAAGCTTTTTCTTTTCTTCTTTTTCCTCAGATCTTCCCAGCAACAATCAGTCAAAAACTACACTGAAAAATATTAACTTTAAAAAAAACTTTTTTATCCACTTTACAAGCACAAACAAGTGATGAAAAAATATGTGGGCCTATTTATAAGTATTTATGTGTAGACCTATTCTTATCATTTTTTTAATATTAATAGTTATAGCCTACATTTGTATTTTATGATCAATGTTAAGAACAAAAATTAAAAACATTATTATTATTAATTATATTCTTTCTTTATTTGTAAAACTAGAAGGCTAAAACGAAAACACGACTATTTTAGTCTTGCTTTAACTTGCAGCTTACTCTGGCTTGCAAAAACTCAACTGAGGAATTAGATGAGGTTTGTGCAAGAAACTTTTCATAATGATTTCATAATTTTCCTTCCGCTTCTGTGCTCGGCGGTTTTGTTGTTTATTCTGCGCTTTATTCACGAGCTTTACGGTAGATTTAAGCGCTGTGGCGTTGCTCGTTTCTGATTGGCTGTCGGCGTGTGCGTTAGAATGTCTCGTGCCAAGAAGGCTCGCGGCTGTCACTCACTGTGCGCGGCCTGACGCACAGACCGGTGAATTTATCTAAAATATAATGTTTAGTCGCGCATTATTGTGACCAACTGACTCTGAGACGTTTGAAGGAAAGGGTAAGGCTTCAGATATATCCTTTATGAGAGCTCTGGAGGGAGTATGTGGAGTATTATTGTGTTAGCGTAGCTTAACAGCAGCTGCCATCACTTCACTAGACCACCTCACTCATGTTTACATGATTGTTAAATAAGCTAATGATGGCCTTCCGGTTTAACATTAACAGTATTGTGATTCTCCACCTGTTGCACTTTGGTTTTGCTGCATTAGCTAACGGTTTCAGAACATTGTTTTTTCAGGCATTGGTCAATTTGGAGATTTTGGGCTATTTTGCTTTCATAGCATGTCTTCTTTCAGACTAGTGAAAAGAAAACACCACACATTTACACTGAAGTGCTAATTTAATCACACTTCATCTATCTGCATCTGGATTTTTCAATTACAGTGCATGTCTTTGTAGGCTATAGGAATTTTTTTCTCCACCTCAGTGTCACTTGCATACATCAGACCTTGCAGTTGAGTTCCTATCTATATTCTGAAGGTTTTTACAGAGGGTTTAAAAAAAAAAAAAAAAGCATTTTGAAAATACTGTTCACAACATTTTCTGATTTATGGCGTGATTAAAAACTCCAATATGTAAAATATCAACTAAATGAAACCGGAATTTTGAACTGGAACTAGTGCATATATAATTCGTAATATTTAAACATAATTCCAGAAAACTTGTGATTCAAAACAATTGTCTTAATGTACTGTAATAAATTAACTAGAGAAGTATGGTGATCACTTGTGGTTACTTGCCTTAATGATTAGCACTGTGTGTTTAATCTATTTTAATAAAATCACTTTAAAGGGGTCATATGATGCGATTTCAAGTTTTCCTTTCTCTTTGGAGTGTTACAAGCTGATTGTGCATAGATAAGATCCCTGAAGTTGCAAAGACTAAAGTCTCAAAACCAAAGAGATATTCTTTATCAAAGTTAAGACTCTGCCACGCCCCCCTAAAACGGCTCGTTCTAACACGCCCCCACATATCTACCTCACTATGTGGAAATATTTGCATAATGCGCCCAAATGTTCAAGCAAAGAAAGGCGGCGTGGTTTCAGTAACCGCAGTTAGTGTTGAAGCAGCATGTCAGGGAGACGCTGTGTGTTTCTAGGCGAAAGCAAAAGCACTTTATTTGGCCTTCCGAAAGTAGATGCATTTAGGAATCTTTAAGATGACTTACAACAGAACAACAATGCATTTTATGGACGACCGTTTCGTGAACCTAGGAGAGGAGGTCATTCTGACTTTGCTATGACAATCTGGCGCTTCTGAATCAGCTACTGTTTTGTTATTAGTTTAAGTTTTTGCTATTGACTGTTCAAATGCGGAGTTTTGCGCATCGTGTGTGTGTGTGTGCGCGCGTGTGTGAGAGAGAGCGAGCGAGCGAGAGAGAGAGAGAGAGAGAGAGGAGAGGAGAGGAGGGGAGGGGGGGATCACAGTGGAGTCAGCTGTCTTAACCGTGGCTTGTGTACTGCAAACACATGTAGTGGCTTAGTGGTTAAATATCTAGTAGCCTGGTAGCTGAAAGGATGTAGGTTCAAACCCTGTTTGTATGCTACCAGCGTTGTGCTTTTAATTCATATTTACAAATTCACTTTTTTTGTGCTCTGTGATATTGTAGTTAAAGATATAGACTGGTAACTGAAAGCTTGTTCCATTACAAGCTGGGCTAATGACTGGAGATTGTAGGTTCAAACCCTGAATTAGTGATCGATGAACTGTCCCATTTGTGTCATACTACTTTCTACAAAACTTCTAAGGGTATCGTCATATAGTTGATTGAGATCTGGGCTGGCGTCTGAAAGGCTTTAGGTTTAACCCACGACCTATCTTCATCATTGTGCCCTTAATCAAGGCACATGCATGCCCTTAATTGCATGTAGTTCCATAAATCACACAAATTATGGCGGAAACCGTGCATTTGCTTGCTTAGTGTGTGTTCATCAACTGTGAGGTTGGGCAGATCTGGTGTGACTTCCCATTTGGTCCCTAAAATAACTTTTGGTGTCACTTGTCAAAGGTCATGGCAGGAACAGCCTTACAGAAAGAATGCTTGTTTTCTACGTCTGGGACACAGTTGTAGCCTGATGGTGAATAATCTGTAATAGGTTGTATTTAGTTTGGTTACCTGGGTGTATATTGGGCGGGGCGATAGCAACTCCAAGGTCATGGGTTCTAGTCCCAGGGAATGTTTTAAATGCAACATAATTTGCTTTGGATAAAAGCGTCTTCCAAATGCATAAATTTAAAATCACATTGTAAGTAGTTGCTTTCCTGTCTGTTCTTCATGCAATACCTTAGTTCAGAATATCTTTGAATATACTGCTTTCGTGTTTTGGGTGAACTATTTCTTTAAATGCACATGTCCCAGTTTGGAGTGACCCCAGAGCTCCCTGCCCCGTCATCGTTGAACCCTTGAGCGAGACACTTAAACTTAGTCTGCTGTGATTCACACCGGATGAAACCGTCCCGACCTAACAACAGCAATGATGTCAGCATGCATCACTATTTTGTACTTTGACTTTTTTTTAATGACCCAGAAGAACACCGTATGATGAATCGATAAGGAGCGACCGTAGGTGGCTGGTGATGAGTTATTTGTTATATAAGGGTTTGGCTCTATGTTTGTACAGGTTTCACTTCCTCTACGTACAGCAAAGTAGGCGACTTCAGTGCTGACATGAGTGTTTAAGTGCTTACAGACATACAAACCAGCAGTCATGAGACATCTGATTATTTCATTTTAGAGTTGAGTATGTGATTGAATCACATTAAGTGATATTACATCCACCTTTTATTAAAATGGATATTTGAGACATAGAATGATATGTTGAATATGGTTTAATATGATTGTGCTTAAAAGGGTCATATGATGCTTTTTTAAAGATCATTATTTTGTGTAATTGGTGTAACAGGATATGTAACAGTCAATAGCAAATACTTAAACTAATAACAAAACAGTAGCTGATTCAGAAGCGCCAGATTGTCATAGCAAAGTCAGAATGACCTCCTCTCCTAGGTTCACGAAACGGTCGTCCATAAAATGCATTGCTGTTCTGTTGTAAGTAATCTTAAAGATTCCTAAATGCATCTACTTCCGGAAGGCCAAATAAAGTGCTTTTGCTTTCGCCTAAAAACACACAGCGTCTCCCTGACATGCTGCTTCAACACTAACTGCGGTTACTGAAACCACGCCGCCTTTCTTTGCGTGCTCATTTGGGCGGCATTATGCAAATATTCCCACATAGTGACCTAGATATGGGGGGGCGTGTTAGAACGAGCCGTTTTAGGGGGGCGTGGCAGAGTCTTAACTTTGATAAAGAATATCTCTTTGGATTTGAGACTTTAGTCTTTGCAACTTCAGGGATCTTATCTATGCACAATCAGCTTGTAACACTCCAAAGAGAAAGGAAAACTTGAAATCGCATCATATGACCCCTTTAATGCTTCATAATTTCCATTCATCACTTTTTTTGTTGTTATTTGAGGGATCCTTTTTCTCATTGTAAAAGGATTGGTATTTTCTGATATGTGGGTAAACTAGTTTAATATTAACATTTTGATTCACACAAAAATGAACATTTTGTAATTATTTACTCACCCTAATATATATATTTTTTGTCTTCCTAATTTTTGTAAAAACATCTGGTTTTCGTGATTTACATTATTTACTGAGAACTATCACTTGCCTTATTGGGCCAGTGCTACGTTGTGATTGTCTTGTGTTCAGTGATCACATGTCTATGTTTTTATGCCTTGCAAACTTCAACATTTGGTTGTCTGTTGTGCATTGTTTTAAATATTTCACAAAGTTAAAGTTTTTTAGCTGCCTAACAGATGAGATTTTAATAAAGTAACTGTCTGGTGATAGTGTTGGTACTAACAGTTAAAATGGGTTAAAATTACAAATGCTCAAATTATCATACGCTGCATGAACATGAAAGAAGAAGGTGATGACAATTTACATTCATGGATGAAATATTCCAGGAAATCCCAAGCTTTTTTGTCAGCTGAACCCCTTTGCCCTTAAATATTTTATACCCCCTAAGATGTGAAGTTAACATTTCAATATTAATTTTGTTCATAGTTATCTGATATTGGTTAATGGTCACATGACATGCAGGTGACCAGTAAAATATATATTTTAGTAAGCGTTTTAATTTTGCATTTCCATTTGTTATTTATTTAAAAATATATATTTTTTTGCTTTAATCCACTTCTCAAGGACCACTGCATTTATAAAGGCTACAGAGATGTTCTTCTGGGTGCTGATATCCTTTATAAGGACTCTGGCATGAATGTTTATCAGCACAGCGGAGAGGACTGTGGTGTGAGAATCACTGCTGCTGACAGATCAGCCATAATAATTAGATCTAATCAGCTGATAAGAGCTCTTCTATCAGACACTGCTGATCCGAATGATCTGTTTTTGTGTCTGAGTGCATTAAGTGTGTGTTTGCATGTATTATTTCAGTATTTTATTTTGCAGGTGTGTATCGGTATCAGTGCAGCCATGCTGTCCAGATTAAGCACGAGTGTGAGGCCGTGTGTGAGCGTGTGCCGATGGGTTCACACTAAAGAGAAGGGGAAACCGCTCATGCTCAACCCACGTACCAACAAGGTTAGACTAAACACAATCTATAAGTCCTTCTAGTTCTGTCTCTGTGTCTCTATCAGTCTCTGTCCTTTCTTGTTTCTAATATCATTTATTGAGCATTGAGGAATCTAATCTGTAATTTGCAGTATTTAAATGATAATAATGGCACAAAACATTGAGGATGTCAGTTGCAATGACAACATTAAACTCAAACACATACACTTACACTAAATGCAAAACCAAATTGTGCAGAAAGAGTTACTCATCAAAGTTTTATATTTGGATTTATGGGTTTGTTCAAATCACTAACTCAAAGGATGAAGAATAAACAAATACTAAGCCACTAGATATTTATTTTATTTGCTACTAATAAAATAACACACAAATTACCATCCAGGGATATCTTGGAACAATAAAATAGTGTTCAATATAACAGTATTGACTATGTTTTAAATTAGTTATATTAGTCCGTTTTTATGATCCAGTTAAGAGAAGAGCCCATACAATATGATTAACGAATATAGAGCTACATGATATTGAAACAAATGGCATTGCAATATTTTGTGTTTTTGTGGTGTATATTTATAATATATGTAATTATAATATAATTTATTATAGTTTTTATTAGATTTATAATGATATTAATAAAAATATTTATATTTATATAAATCTACTCTGAAGATTTTTTAATACAAACTATCTTTTTAGCATAAAATCAAACCTCTTTAATTAACCTTAGAGTGAACCGAGTTTTATAGGCCACATTCCCACTCTTTTTGAACTATTCAGTAACTGATTATAAAATAATTATTGATTTTTTATTGTGATTAATATCAAATAAATTATTAAAACAATAAATAAGTTGTAGTAATTATGCTAATGTCCTGTAGAATAGAAAATAGAGTAAATAAATATATGCGCTATATGTCATACACCATATCATGATCTGTATGTGTGTAGATGAACACAGTGCCACGCTTTTCTCTGAAACCTTATTTAATTAAATCACTGCTTGTAATTTGATAAACGCACTAAGCTGTATAGATTTTATTTCAATGTATATCATGTATTCTTAAACTGGACATTTTAGTAGAGTGTTTAATTACTGCCTCAGCTCACTTGAATGTTAGACTGCATGCACACCACTACCTGCTTAGTTTTTTACGTGCTGGTTTTTTTACTCCCTAGCACAGATACATACACACTTTCTAACACGGCCCCTGTGTGTGTTGAGGGTCTGAACGCTTTTGTCTGGAAAACATTAGAGGAGTGACTCAGCAGAAGTGCCACGTATCCTAGAAAACATGGGTGTGTGCTTCATTTCCGTCCTGTAGACCACTGGTTTTGCTTCAGGACTCTTATTTTACTTTGGAAATCAATCACTATGACCCAGGACAGATCCAAAATTGTTTATTGTACAAAACTAAACTAAATAGCCTGATGGTTTCATGCTCTCAGCAGCCAGTAATTCTCCTCACAAAGCATTGGTGCAGTTGTATTTAATGTGGTCTGGGTCGTATTTTATTTTACTTTGTGTAATTTTGTTTGTTTTTTTGAAGATGAAGGCATGTCAGTGTCGTCACCTGTCTGACTTGACAAGCTTTTACCAAATGAGATGATTTTGCACCGAAATTTCAATGATTAGTTGGCACCAAAATTACTAACTAAGCATCACTAGTATTGCTCATGCTTGTGGTTTGGGATTTGAACAAACCTGCAACTCTATAATTATGAAATTTGGTTTGTTTGTAGACTGTGTACTCTTGACATATTGCAAATGATTATTTGTAATAATTATTTATCCATTAATTAGTTTTATTATTTAACTATAATTAGTAAAATTAATAATAAACATCAGTTTCTAGACATCACATTTATTTTATTTTTATTTATTTATTTATTTTTTACAATTTTAACATTTTATTTTGATCATAGTTATTGTTACTATTTAATTTTATTCTTGTTTTATGACTTTATTTTGAATGATTACTCAAAATCTATCTTTTTTTTATTTTACTACAGTTAATGTCGTCTGGGTCACATTTTCTTTTAACTTTTTTTTTTTTCTTTTTCTTTTTTTTTTTTTTAATTTGCAACAAAATACAGATGAGTTTGGTTGCCCGGCTTTCGATGTCAACCACAAAATATATGCAAAGTGTTTTTCCTTCCATTTAAAAGTTGATTCTACCTAAATATCCATCATTATACTTATATTGCATTTAGTTTATTATAGTTGCATTTTATTATTTGCATTTAACATAATTTTCCCTGCTGTTCAGAAAAGACCTGCAACCCCACAACCCTGTTAAAGACTGTTCCCAGTCCTCAAACATGCTCAAACACACATGTGCACACACTCCAGGCATATGGAATGTAAAGTGAAGGCAGTTCCTGTATGTTATAGATGGGTGTTTCCCTCTCCCTGACATTCATTGGTCGTTGTTCTGCTTTGCTCCCCGCAGACATTTCCTCCTCACACTTAGGATGTATGTACATTTGTGGCATCTCGGGTCAAAGAGTCATGCATGGTTTTAATGTACAGCAGAGGAGGGCTCCAGCCCACCCCCAAACACACACAAAGCCAGTGTTTCAGGGTCTCTGTATGACCTATTGTGTTCTGTGCACTCCATATGTCACAGCCTTCTGCATAGACAATGCATTAGACTAGACCATCTGCAGTTGTCTTTGTGTGTGTGGCTTTGTCTGTAATTCTGTTTGCTAAGGCATGCAGCACTATTGCTCATTCTGGTTGGAGATTTGAGCAAACCTGTGACCCTAAAGAAACTTTGGTGTTGCACCAAGCAAGCGATGAAACTTGATGCGTTTGTAGACAGGGTTATTTTTTAATGTCTTCTTGAATCTTGACACAATCCTAATAATAATAATTTCTAACCACTGTAGCGAATCAGCTCATGGGGAAATATGAATAATTAACCATAACTAGTTATAATTAACTATTCATATTTTAGATCCGCTGTAGATATTTAGCTGACCACTCAGGGTCAACTGTCTTGTCAATTCTAAGAACGTTAATTTCCACATATGGATATAGTTTTGTTCAGGTTTGTAAATATCAGATGTAATTATTTTTGTAATATCAAATTTTTTGTTTCATTTTATTTTATAAGTGATTGATAATTTTATTGTTATTTTACAATTGATTGTTTTTATTATCGTCATTAATTAATTGCATTTTTTTATTGTATTTTTATTTTTAAAACATTTTTGCTTATTGTTACTATTTTATTGTATTTTAATGTCATTTTATTGTATTTTTTTTATTTTAAATGTTTGGATACTATTATTATTATTATTATTATTATTTTGTTCATTAATAGGAAAAAACTTGATCACTGGTTGTACAAACAATATAATATACTTAATGCCACTTTTTTTCATCCAAATTTTAAAACTAGTTTGATTAAAATATGCTAAAAATCAGCTGAACAAAGCCTTAGAGACTCAGTTGACTGACAAACACTCCCAACACATTAGCATTGTCCTTGCAATCCTCTATTTGACTCTAGTAAATAAAAAAAAAAGGTACAAATCTATTGTAAACATTGTGTATTTGTGCATGCACAGGGCATGGCCTTCACTCTGAAGGAACGGCAGATTTTGGGCATTCATGGTCTGTTGCCATCGAAGATTGAGACACAGGACACTCAGGCCATGCGCTTCCAGAAGAACCTGAAGAAGATGTCCGACCCACTGCAGAAGTACATTCATTCACTTTGATACCCATTTCAGAAAATAAGAGCTGTTTCACAATTTGATTTGAATTTAAACTTAATTTAAAATGTCCATATAAAATCTGAAGTTTACATGAAGAATTCTGTATTTAAGGCTGTGTGGATAAAAAATTATATTAGTCAATATATATAACATGTATAATAATCAGTAATATACAGGTGCATCTAAAAAAAATAGAATATCATAAGAAAGTTATTTTTTTGTAACTTATTTCAAAAAGTGAAACTTTCATATATTCTAGATTCATTACATGTAAAGTAAAACATTTCAAAAGTTGTTTTGTTTTAATTTTGATGATTAAAGCTTACAGCTCATGAAAGTCAAAAATCCAGTATCTCAAAATATTAGAATGTTTCCTAAGATCAATCAAAATAAGGATTTGCAAATCAGAAAAGTTCAAGTTCTTTAAAGTATGCTCATTTATGCACTCAATACTTGGTTGGGGCTCCTTTAGCACAAACTCCAGCATCAGTGAGGTGTGGCATGGAAGCGATCAGCCTGTGGCTCTGCTGAGGCACTATTGAGCCTTCAGCTTGGATCGACTGTTTCTCATCTTTCTCTTGAAAATATCCCTGATAAAACACAATGGACCAACACCAGCAGATGTCACTGCACCCCAAATCATCACTGACCTCGGAAACCTCACACTGGACTTCAAGCAGCTTGGATTCTGTGCCTCTCCAGTCTTCCTCCAGACCTTGATCTCCAAATGAAATGCAAAATTGACTTTCACCTGAAAAGAGGACTTTGGAGCACTGAGCAACAGTCCAGTTGTTTTTCTCCTTAGCCCAGGTAAGATGCTTCTGAGGTTGTTTCTGTTTCAGAATTGGCTTGGTAGCCCTTTTCCTGAAGACGTCTGAGCATGGTGGCTTTTGATGCACTGACTCCAGCTTCAGTCCACTCCTTGTGAAGCTCTCCCAAGTGTTTGAATCGGCTTTGCTTGACAGTATTCTCAAGCTTGCGGTCATCCCTGTTGCTTGTGCACCTTTTCCTACCCAATTTCGTCCTTCCAGTCAACTTTGCATTTAATATGTTTTGATACAGCACTCTGTGAGCAGCCACACCTTTCAGTAATGACCTTCTGTGACTTACCCTCTTTGTGGAATCTTCTGGACCATTGCCAAGTCAACAGTCCTCCCCATTATTGTGGTTTCAAAGAATAAGAGATACCCAGAATTTATACTGTAGGGATGGTCATTTAATGAAACTCAAATGTAAATATTCTAATATTTTGAGATACTGGATTTTTGACTTTCATGAGCTGTAAGCTCTAATCATCAAAATTAAAACAAAAAAAAAAACGTTTGAAATGTTTTACTTTACATGTAATGAATCTAGAATATTTGAAAGTTTCACTTAAAAAAAAAAAAGAAAATGTTCATGAAATTCAAATTTTTTGAGATGCACCTGTAATTGGTATATACAGTGGGTACGGAAAGTATTCAGACCCCCTTAAATTTTTCACTCTTTGTTATATTGCAGCCATTTGCTAAAATCATTTAAGTTAATTTTTTTTCCTCATTAATGTACACACAGCACCCCATATTGACAGAAAAACACAGAATTGTTGACATTTTTGCAGATTTATTAAAAAAGAAAAACTGAAATAACACATGGTCCTAAGTATTCAGACCCTTTGCTCAATATTTAGTAGAAGCACCCTTTTGATCGAATACAGCCATGAGTCTTTTTGGGAAAGAGGCAACAAGTTTTTCACACCTGGATTTAGGGATCCTCTGCCATTCCTCCTTGCAGAGCCTCTCCAGTTCTGTCAGGTTGGATGGTAAACGTTGCCACTGTATATACTGTGTATATATATATATATATATAATTAGTCAATATGTATAATATCATTATCTGCTTTTTATGATATTTATAGATAAAATTACAAAGCTAAAATGTCCAACCCAACATTATTTGACACTCAATATTCTGTTTCTGTTTGAAAATATGTCCAATTACAAAAGTTAAATCTTTTTTAAATGCAGATTCATGTATGGGTTAATTTGAACAGGTACATCTATCTGATGGGGATTCAGGAGAGGAACGAGCGTCTCTTCTACCGCGTGCTGATGGAAGACATCGAGGCTCTCATGCCCATCGTCTACACGCCTACTGTTGGTCTCGCATGTACTCAGTATGGACATATCTTCAGGCGGCCCAAGTAAGCTACACTTCATTAATTATTACCTATTTAGCTATGATACATTGAACCTTTTCTGTGTAAATCACAGCTGTAATTGTATGCCCAGCATGCTCTTATTCTCAGATAAATGTGTCGGTGAAACTGAGAGCAACTTGCGCAGAATTTACAACATCACAGCAAAAGAAATTGAAGAATAAAAATAATTTCTAGATGTTAATAGAAAAATGACTTGTCTTCCCTGGCTGCACACAAAAACAAACACGGTGTGACCAGTCTGATTGATGAACGAATAAATCTTATGAACCAGTTATTTTAATGAATCATTCAATGCGACTCACAAACTCATGAATCTTTGGTTTGAATCCGTTTAACAAACACTTCTATTTGAATCCTTCAACACTGAGTCAGTCAGGGCGTTTACAGATTTAACATTTTACTCACTGAACTGCAAGTTAACATTACATTCGATCATGTACACAATAAACCAACTGTTACTTTGTGTTTAGGGTTCATGACATGTACATATGGCAATGTGTAGTTTAAAGTAGATGCTCATTTAAAATGGAGTCAAAACATCAATATATTTTACCAGAAAAGTATCGTTTTGTTAAGTATTCATTTTGGACTATTTTTTCAATGTCATTATAGGGGAGATTTACTCTGAAACACTGATTTGTGTGTTCGTTTTGCAGAAAGATTGAAATTTTTGTCTTTTTCCACAGAGGTCTGTTTATCTCCATTAAGGACCAAGGACATGTTCGTTCCATATTGGATAATTGGCCAGAAACCACTGTCAAGGTATTGGATTTCAACATTCCAGCATTCCGGTGCTTTTTTATTTTTATTAAAGTGCATGTTTGATGACACTCTTTGATTATTAAGTTTAGTCATTTTACCCTCATGTTGTTCTAAACACGTGACAGCATTTAGATTTTTTGGTGAACGACATCTTTTAGACTGTGATGTGTATATTAATTTGTTTTTTAGAGTTGGAGTTTGTTAGTACAGTGAGGGATCTTTCATCTGTGTGCGTGTTTGCAGGCTGTAGTGGTGACGGACGGTGAGCGTATCCTGGGTCTAGGGGATCTGGGAGTGTATGGGATGGGTATTCCTGTAGGAAAGCTGTGTCTTTATACGGCCTGTGCTGGAATCCGGCCTGAAAGTTGTCTGCCGGTCTGCATTGATGTAGGCACGGATAACGAGGTTGGTAACCATTAATTCCCAAAACAATCATAAGTGACCAGATTTTATGGCTGTATGGAGCTCTGTGTATATGTATATTCATATACGTGTATGCATAACAGTGTTATTAAAAATATAAAAGAATCCTACTGTTGTGGTATTTTGTTCAGTGTTCAAACATACATTACGTTTGCTTGCAGATGATTTATTAAGCTGCTGTTTTATCTGTGTATTTGTGTGTTTCTGCAGAAGTTACTGAGGGACCCATTCTACATGGGTCTATATCAGCGGCGTGACCGTTCCCAGCGCTACGACGATCTCATAGATGAGTTCATGGAGGCTGTGGTGGATAAGTACGGACAGGACACCCTCATACAATTTGAGGACTTCGGAAATCACAACGCCTTCCGATTCCTGAAGAAATACCGTGAGAAGTTCTGCACCTTCAATGATGACATCCAGGGTGTGTACCAGTACCGCACTTATTACTTACTATTACTTAGTTTTTCATTTATTTTAATTTCAGTTTTAGTCCAGTTAGTAATTTTAGTGCTTCAACTTTGTCTTTAACTTGAAACGTTTAGTTCATTTAGTAAAACGTTTTTAGTCTAATATTTATATTTTATTTAAACTTTATTTAACTTAATTAAAATGTTTTTACTTTTACATTAAGTTAATGATAACAGTGGTGGCACTTAGGAGTCGGACTCATTTTACTGAATCAGTTTATTTGATTCAATGCACTGGTTCATAACCTGAAATCATTGTTTACAGTTTGTTTTTGGAGTTAAATCCATTTTAATTTAAACAAGCATCATTAGTTCTATTGCTCAGTCTTAGTGCTTTTAACAAAGTCCTAATCACAAGAATTAACCATTGAATCAAATGAACCAGTTCATTATGTTACTTAGTGCTTAGAAACAAACTTCTCAAACTAAGTTTTAAACTTTGGCACATAACTCCTGAATCGTTTGTGCTCCAAACATGAATCATTCCTCAAAATATGTATATTGTTGAGGAAAGTGTGACCAGACTTAGTTTTTTTCAAAGTCTAAATGAGACTAATGATGTATGTGTCATATTTGCATACTGAATTGTGATTAGTCCTCATTTCTGATTCTGATTTACCTTACAAGCACAGGTATTTCCATCAAGAATGCATATTTGATTTTTTATTTTTTTTTTATTCGTGCATCAGCAGTTGTGTTTGTGTATCCGCAGGCACTGCATCAGTAGCTCTGGCAGGTTTACTGGCAGCTCGGCGTGTTGTGGGGAAGCCAATAACCGAACATAAAGTTCTGTTTCTGGGGGCTGGAGAGGTGAGCACAAGTGACACATTTTAAAGACACAATAACACAAACCCAGTCTTTTAATCTGTGTGGTTTGATATGAGATTAAACTTTAATGTAGCCTGTGTATTTAAGATGGGATTGTTTATTTTTAGGCTGCTCTGGGAATCGCTAACCTAATCGTGATGGCGATGATGGAGGCGGGAATGTCTCAGGCAGAAGCCAGAAAGAAAATCTGGATGTTTGACAAATACGGTCTGTTAGTAAAGGTGAGCATTTAATACCTTAAATATGTATGCAGTATTTTTTTTACACCAACTCAGAGTTAGAAATATCTGAAAGTCTTTGCATAATAAGACAAAATATCAAACTGAATTAAAGTGTTTGCAAGAAACACAAACTTGGCTGTCATCATTTGTTTGCAGAAACCAACATAAGTCTGATTATGTGCAAAAGCACGATCACTTTCCTGATGATAACGTTAATAATTTTGATGAGTGAGTTTTTAAAATGGATTCAAATGGATTTTACTGCAAAAATGGAATATAAACAATGATTAGTCAATCCTGGTTTTGAAACATTGAAACAAATGAACCGACTCTTAAAAACTAATCAGACTTCTCAGTGATGCCAGGGTTATTTTCGTTATTTCATTATCATAACTACAGATAAATTAAATAAAATGAATTAAAAAATGTAATAATTTTAAATGAAATAAAATTCATTTAAAATGTATATTTAAATTTCATTTTTATTTTATTTATAAAAAACATAGCTAAAAATACTGACTGAACTCAAATTAAAACTGAAATAAAAATGTATTAATTATACCAGGGTTATTTTCATTATTTCATTATCATAACTACAGGTAAATAAATTAAAAAATGAATAATTTTCAAATATAATTTTTTAAATAATTTTAAATTAAATAAAATTAAACAAGTACAATTTTAATTAAAAAATTATATTTAAATTGTATTGTATTTTATTGTATTTTATACAATTTTATAAAAAAAAATCGTAACTAACTGAAATATGACATTTTATAGTGCTGTCAAACGTGATTAATCGCATCCAAAATAAAAGTTTTTGTTTACATAATATATGAGTGTGTACTGTGTGTATTTATTATGTATATATGAATACAAACACATGCATGCATATATTAAAAAAAAAAGTTATGTTTATGTATTAAATATATTTATATATAATTATAAAATATAATAAATATAAATGTATATACATGTAAATATTTTCAAATATATATACTGTATGCGTGTATTTATATATACATAATAAATAAACACAGTACACACACATATATTATGTAAACTAAAACTTTTATTTTGGATGCGATTAATCGTTTGACAGCACTAAAAGTTTAAGCTAAAAATACTAACTGAACTAAAACTGAAATAAAAATTAATTAAACAAATAGTAATATTAAAATAAATAAATTGCAAGTGCAAAATATATATATTTTTTTTACTACATTCAAAATTTTAAACTGAAAATATAAAAGCTATAATAATACATAAATAGTACTGAAATAACACTGAGTACTACTACTGAGGTTGTTTGCAGTGTCTGAAATGCAATCACAGTATTTTAGTAAGCTTAGCTAAATGACTATCTGAGCTCAAGTCTCCTCTAAAATCTCTAAACATGAATTGAAAATCGGTGTCATTTACCAACTTGTTTTTTTCCCCACATGCTTTGAGACTCACAACTGCAGTCCAGTAATCAGGTGTGCGTTTCTCTGTTTTTCAGGGCAGAGCTTATGAGACTGATAGTAATCAGGAGGCTTTTGTTCATCCTGATCCCGGGGAAGTGAAAAGCTTCTTAGACGCTGTCAATGTTATCAAACCCTCTGCGATCATCGGTAAGACGAGCTGCTCCCTCTGTGTCTTGTACAGAAATCAATCCCAACATTAATCATTTGACCTCTGCTTAAGCTTTAAAGGTTTAACCTTCATTTTATTTAGTTTCTTTTTAAAGTTAGTCAAGTATTACACCAAAACAGAAAACTTCATTAGAATTAAAAAAGCTCTTTTTGTTGCTGTACCGTTAAACCTTCTGTGTGCAAGTAAACATGGCTTGTCATTGTTTTATTGTTGCATATTATAGTTTATGCATATAGCTGAATGCATCATACATAACCCCTGAATTCTGTATTAATGTATGTGTATGCATGTTTTGACCTCTTTCTCAATGTCATCAGGTGTGGCAGGTGCTGGCCGGCTCTTCTCTCATGATGTCATCAGAGCAATGGGCAGCTTGAACGAGCATCCCATAATCTTCGCCCTCAGCAACCCGACTGCTAAGGCAGAGTGTACAGCTGAAGATGCCTACAGCCTCACACAGGTTAAATATAATTCATGCATTAACCCTGTAAAGCCTGACAAATGGAATAATAGCCAGAAAAAAATAATACAAATTTGCATGTGTTTTTGTTGCATTTCATGGCTCATATAGTATCTCAGCCTCACACAGGTTAAATATCATTCATGCATTAACCCTGTAAAGCCTGACAAATGGAATAATAGCCAGAAAAAAAAATGTGCATGTGTTTTTGTTGCATATCATGGCTCATATAGTATCTCAGCCTCACACAGGTTAAATATCATTCATGCATTAACCCTGTAAAGCCTGACAAATGGAATAATAGCCAGAAAAAAAAATTTGCATGTGTTTTTGTTGCATATCATGGCGTATATATTATCTCATATTGTATCTTAGCCTCACACAGGTTAAATATCATTCATGCATTAACCCTGTAAAGCCTGACAAATGGAATAATAGCCAGAAAAATTTAAAAAAATAAATAATTGCATGTGTTTTTGTTGCATATCATGGCTCATATAGTATCTGTTTTATTCAGAGGCTCAAACTGAGCAAAAATATGTAATTTGGTGCAGTTGCTGATATGTTTTTTGCATGTGTTTTTGTTGCAGATCATGGCGCATATATTATCTCATATTGTATCTTAGCCTCACACAGGTTAAATATCATTCATGCATTAACCCTGTAAAGCCTGACAAATGGAATAATAGCCAGAAAATGTTTTTTGCATGTGTTTTTGTTGCATTTCATGGCTCATATAGTATCTGTTTTATTCAGGCTCAAACTGAGCAAAAATATGTAATTTGGTGCAGTTGCTGATATTTACATGGCCAAAAAGTAAGATGAAATTCTGTGTATTGTAAATGAGATCTTTATAGCAGTGTATAGCAGACTACTTAAAAAAAAAAAAAAAAACCTTTTAAATATCAGTTGTCTCTCCTAAAAAAATAAATAATTGCATGTGTTTTTGTTGCATATCATGGCTCATATAGTATCTGTTTTATTCAGGCTCAAACTGAGCAAAAATATGTAATTTGGTGCAGTTGCTGATATTTACATGGCCAAAAAGTAAGATGAAATTCTGTGTATTGTAAATGAGATCTTTATAGCAGTGTATAGCAGACTACTTAAAAAAAAAAAAAAAACATTTTAAATATCAGTTGTCTCTCTGCATCTCCAGTAATGTCTTAGTAAGATGATATTTAAATGCATAGTTTCATGATCAAAGCTCTAGTTTCAAAACAACAAATCATATGATGAGAGATCCTCAAAAGCCTGAGGATCATATTTGATATGATTTCTCTAAAAATGATATATATGGATAATCAAGTAAACTTAAGTTGCTAAGCGTTCATCATGAAATATTACTTGCAATATAAAAGTTATTCTTATGTTTACTTTGGTAAAGTAAAGATTTGCATGAAAAAGACACATGAACCGCAAGCAGTTGAACCTAAAATATCAACTATAAACTATCAATCAGATGTAGTAGATTGTGTACATGTAGAGTATGTGAATATTAGTGAATATGTTTCTGTTCTAGGGACGGTGTTTGTTTGCCAGTGGCAGTCCGTTCGCACCTGTGTCACTAGAAGATGGCAGAATACTGACCCCTGGACAGGGCAACAACGCTTATATATTCCCAGGTATTAACATGCACTAATTATAGTCAGGCAATAATGGCGGTTTTAGTGGGTAGCTCTAAACGCATGCATAATTTAAATTTCCTAATATCTAACAAGCATATGAAGATGTTGAAGAACAAATAGTGTAAACCTGGCCTGCTCAGGTTATCATGTGTTGACCCATAGGTTGTGATTTCAGGTGTAGCTCTGGCTGTTATACTCAGTGGAGTGCGACACATCAGTGATACGGTCTTCCTTGAGGCCGCAAAGGTAAAACATACAATCCTGAACCACACTTAAGGCCTGAGTATACTTTGTTTTTTTTAATGTGCATTATTTTTAATTTAAAAGGGGTTATGTTACACGTGTATTTATACATTTCATTTTCCATTTCAAAATTGCACAACAGATTTTCTGGAATATTTGTAGCTGATTATCATGCAAATTGTTAATGTTTGTTGATGCACTAAAATTAAATTTCGCCACTCAGATAAAAGTTGTATTAGTTGTTTTTTTTGACCATGCAAAGTAAGTTGCACATACTTTTTTTTTTTGTAACTTTTTATGATATAATTGTTTCTTCTTCAGCTTGTTGTTGAAATTAGTGCTGTCTAATGATTAATCGTGATTAATTGCATCCAAAATAAAAGTTTTAATATGTAAATACACACACATATATATATATATATATGTAAATACACACACGTGCATGTATATATTTAAGAAAAATATGTTATGTTTATGTATTAAATAAATTTATATATGATATAATTTTTATGAATATAAATATATACATGTAAATATTTTCAAAATATATGCTGTATGTGTGTGTCTTCATATATGCATAATAATTAAACACTGTGCACACACATATTATGTAAACAAAAACTTTTATTTTGGATGCGATTAATCGTTTGACAGCACTAGCTGAAATCTAAAAACGTAAATGGTGGGTGTCATAACTTGTTTTCATCACAGATTTATTCAGACATACATTTGAATCAGAAACATAATGAATTTGTAATATATTGCATATCTATATGCTCCTCTCTAGAGTTATTTTTCATAAGTTATTAGCCCTGCATGGCTTGTGTGTGAAAAGCAGTTGTTGTAATACCAGTTTTTGTTCCTATTTTATATTGTAACTTGTTTTTATCAATTTACACTATAAAATATTATTTGTTTGTTCTGTAGACGCTGGCGGATCAGCTGACGGATGAAGAGCTGAGTCAGGGCCGACTGTATCCACCCCTGTCCAACATCAGAGAGGTGTCACTGCAGATGGCCATCAAGGTCAGACTGTGCTTGTGTGTGTTTTAGGACACAGTATGTCACAGCCTGTGATTAAATTAAATAAAGATACGCTTTATTTGGTTCATTTACACACATGTACAGGTGCATCTCAATAAATTAGAATGTCGTGGAAAAGTTCATTTATTTCAGTAATTCAACTCAAATTGTGAAACTCATGTATTAAATAAATTCAATGCACACAGACTGAAGTAGTTTAAGTCTTTGGTTCTTTTAATTGGGATGATTTTGGCTCACATTTAACAAAAACCCACCAATTCACTATCTCAACAAATTAGAATATGGTGACATGCCAATCAGCTAATCAACTCAAAACTTGATTAGCTGATTGGCATGTCACCATATTCTAATTTGTTGAAATAGTGAATTGGTGGGTTTTTGTTCAATGTGAGCCAAAATCATCACAATTAAAAGAACCAAAGACTTAAACTACTTCAGTCTGTGTGCATTGAATTTATTTAATACACGAGTTTCACAATTTGAGTTGAATTACTGAAATAAATGAACTTTTCCACGACATTCTAATTTATTGAGATGCACCTGTAGTTCACAATGCAGTTTTCAGCGTGTGAGAAATTTGTTTGTAAGTTGTATTTTGAAGCTTTGCTAATAGAACTCATGGTGTGCTCCTTAGACATTTATATTTAGAGAACATACTTGCGTATTAACGCTTACATTTTCTTTAAGTGGTCTTTAAAAAGTCTTAGATTTATTTGCAGAAATCCCAATAAGGGACACAAACGGCACTTGTTTTCACTTGTCATAAGCCCTCACTGAGACGCTGTGTTTTGTGCGCAGGTGATGCAGTACGTGTATTCAAAGGGAATGGCGTTTCGATACCCAGAGCCTGTGGATAAGGAAGCGTACGTCAGATCGGTTGTGTGGAACATCAACTACGATTCCTTTCTGCCCGAGATATACGACTGGCCCGGGGTTTCTCACAGCCCTGTAGTAGACTAGACAAACACACGAGAACACACCAGACAGAGAGAAACAGAACAAAAACCAGGAAGTGGGAAGGGAGTTTTCATTCTTCTGTTTTAGGCACTCCCTTTTTTCGAGTATTTATTCAGATTTCTCCCTTTGGTTAAATTGCAATTTCAGTTTATGAATGAATTTTACAAATCATGTACATGTCCGGGAAACATTTCACTCCAGAATCCAAAGAAATAAATACTAAATAATATTTTGCATGAAGAAAATGAAGCCTATTTGAATTATATTCATCACAATTAAGCACATTTTTACCCAAAATGCACTGTGAAATATTTTATTTACTTTATAAGGTATTTATGCATTATAATATTTAGTTGTATTTCCTGCCATTTTTACATCACGTCTTCACTCTAATATAGTAAAAAAAAAAAAACATTACAGTAATGAGAATCTAATAAGAAACCATCAAGAATAATAAGAATTTACTCGAAAGTAAAATGTCCAGGTCCATTAAGGCAATGAGAATTTGGTTGTAAATGTGCCTATTTTTCATGAAAAAAAAAAGAACAATTCTGAATGTTACTGGCTTTATTTGCTTTATGCTAAATATATTTGATTTGATTTTTTTCACACCCTTACAGTGTTTTCTACAGCCATCACGCCAGTGTTGAGTTGGATAGCGTGCCTTGCCTCTCCTCTCAGTTGTTTTTATATGCTGCGTGCAATGAAACCTTTTCTAAAATGAAGTCACACTCCATTTGTTTGTGTTTGTTTCTTGTTGTGTCTGTAACTTTCATTCAGTTCATAAAGATCCATTTATTTCCAATTGGAGGAGGAAGTACAGGATATAAAGGACTAGCAGAGTTCAGTATATTGCACGATATTACAGTCATTGCATTAAGCCGTATATTTGTCGCTGTGACTGAGTTTTTAGGGCATTTACCAGCAAATATTCACATGCTTAGGACATGAAGGGGCTAACTTGGAAAATGACCAGCTGACTGTACAGTATTCGTCTTAGTACACAGCTACTTCCCAAATAAATCAATACATGTACATGAAATATTGATTTAAGTTCAAATTATGTGAAAAAGAGAAGAACATAGAGAGAAATTAGAAATATAGTGCTATCACAGCTTACTATCAAAGCTTGTTTCATGCAACAGCAGTAAATTATAGTTAATTAGACAATATATTCAAATATTTGACTGCTGTTATTGTCCATCAGAAAAATAAATGTACCAAAGTGCCTGCTTCTACATCTTCATACGGTCACCGCACATCGTACATTAGTTATTTTACATGCCATAGTAAATGCAGTAGCCAGAGAGCACAAGAACAACACATTATCATCATTTACAGAAGTTTGAAAACTGCACAGAGTTTTTTTTTCTTTCTTTTGACAGCATATCGTACAAACTAACTAGTGAACCTCTTGTATTCAGGACCAACACATAGAGATGCTTCATTTGTCAGTCCTTTGACACTTTCGTTGTTGTGGTCAATGTTGTACACCTGTGCTGATGCAGTTAATGTTTTCGAACGCCGTCCTTCCTCACGTCTAGAGGTGATGAGCAGGTGCATTGTGGGTGGAGATTATTTTGCTATGTGATGCTGCTTTAGTGTCTGAACTCTAGGAGCTGCTCAGAACCCTGTGTGCGCTGTTACAAGTGCAGAATAAAGATTTGTGCTCGAATCACTGCTAGTCTATTTGCTGTATTATTTTAAATATGTTATGGTTAAAAATTACAGCTAATTAAATTAAACGATCATACTATTCTGGGATTATGCATTAATAAAAATAAGAGATGCCATTCTGTAAAAAAATTGTTACTATTAAGAGTATATTTTTTATATAAATTTTAATGTTAAAATAAGGTAATAAAATTACATTTTTTACAAGTAAATATGTATTTTTATATTTTAAATACTATTTTATATTTGTTTTTTTATTATTTATTTATTAACATCTACAGTATATATAATTTATGTGAAAAATATACTAGGTAAAATACTAAAATAGAATATACTTTTACAGATTTTAAAATTTGTTGATATGAAATTTTTACTAATTTAATTTGAAATGAATGCTAATATTACGCTAACATTGAATTATATAGAGTAACACATTAAAAAAAAGAGATGCCTTGGGAATTCTGTAAAAAAAAATCATATAAATTCATTTTAATCTGTAAAGAAATAAATACAGATTTTTTTTGTCAACAAATATTAATAATATATATTTTTTTATTTTTAATAAATATTATAATATTATTTTTTTGAAATGTAATTTAATTTATAAAATTTTAATTTAGTTTATAATATTTTACAGGCTAAAATTACTTTAAATGAAAAAAAAAATAGAATGTTAACAGTTAAATACTAAAATAGTATACACTAAATTATACTTCTACTCATTTTTTAATTTATGCCGATATACAATTAGCATATTCCATTTTTCATTTTTTTTACTGGTTTATTTTTAAAATAATACTGACGAATTATACAGTTAAATAGGTTACTAACAATAAGAGATTCCCTGGGAATTCTGCTCTGTTTAAACTGAGATCTGTTAGATTAGTGTGTGGTGTTCTGCTGACCTCTAGTGTTCCTGAAAATTGCTAAGCCTTCTTAATGTTATGTATCCATTTTGAACATCTTTTTTAATGAAGAATTATCGTTTTATAGTATGCAGTACACTCACAATATACAATAAAAACAGTAAGTGCGTGTAGTGTGTACTGTGCAGTGTGCAGTACGCGACAGTGAGCGAGTCCGCGTCGTGCTTGTGCCCCGGATGTTGTTGTTTGAGCACGTGTTCAGTGGCTCCGCTGGTCGAGATCGAGGGTGCCGGTTTATTCTAACGGTGTTTAGCGTTATTATTCGTCACATGCAGACAAAACAGCACAATGTCTATGGACATCACGTTCCTCGGGACCGGCTCCGCTTACCCGTCTCCCTGTCGCGGCGCGTCTGCGCTTGTGTTGCGGACTGAAGGGGAGAGCTGGCTGTTTGACTGTGGAGAGGGAACACAGACTCAGCTCATGAGGAGCTGTCTTAAAGCCAGTGAGTCTGCTTGCTTTAGTGAGTTCATACCCTGTAAAACGCTCATTTCAGAGGGGTCCTGTCGATGTTTTCATTAGTGAATCCTATGAATCTGTCAAAAACAAGGATCACAAAAGCAACAGAAAGGAATAATTGGTTTATGCCTATGGGAAATATTTTAGGCCCCCTTTAGAGGCATTATTTTAATGACAATTCCGCACCAAATCTCTCATTACTGTCAAGATAAATAAATAAATAAAAATAACTAATAATAGATAAACTTTCACTAGTGCTGTCAAACGATTAATCGCGATTAATCACATCCGAAATAAGTTTTTTGTTTACATAATATGTGTGTACTATGTATATTATATATATATATATATATATATATATATATATATGCACACATGCATGTATATATTTAAGAAAAATGTTACTTTTAAATATACTTATATATGATATAATTTATATGAATATGAATATATACACGTAAATGCATGTAAATATTTTCAAAATATATGTTGTGTGTGTGTCTTTATATATGCATACACATATATTATGTAAACAAAAACTTTCATTTTGGATGCGATTAATCGTTCGACAGTACTAAAATATATATATATATATATATAGAGAGGACTGTTAAAAAAAAAAATCATTACTGTATGCACTGTATAGTGAACTTTCCTGTGTTCCCTGTCCAGGCAAAATCACCAAAGTGTTCATATCTCACCTCCATGGTGATCATCTGTTTGGTCTTCCTGCACACATGCATGTATATATTTAAGAAAAATGTTACGTTTAAATATACTTATATATGATATCATTTATATGAATATGAATATATACACGTAAATGCATGTAAATATTTTCAAAATATATGTTGTGTGTGTGTCTTTATATATGCATACACATATATTATGTAAACAAAAACTTTCATTTTGGATGCGATTAATCGTTCGACAGTACTAAAATATATATATATATATATAGAGAGGACTGTTAAAAAAAAAAATCATTACTGTATGCACTGTATAGTGAACTTTCCTGTGTTCCCTGTCCAGGCAAAATCACCAAAGTGTTCATATCTCACCTCCATGGTGATCATCTGTTTGGTCTTCCTGGTTTGCTGTGCACCATCAGTCTGAACTCAAACCCCCAGCCGGATCAGCCTGCTCCCTGCGTGGACATCTACGGCCCGCGGGGGTTAAGACGCTTCCTGCGTGTGGCGTTAGTGCTGTCCAGCTCGCAGCTGCTCTTCCCGTATGCGGTGCATGAGCTGGAGCCGGCGGATGAGCAGTGTCCCGCGGAGGGACGTCTCAGTCCTGCGCTGACCGCCAGCAGCGACACGCTTCACCCACAGGAGCGGCCCGGCTCAAGCGTACGGCTGGACCCGCACACAGACTGTTACCACCTCATTGATGACAAACAGTTTGTGGTTAAAGCGTTCAAGCTCTACCACAGAGTCCCGTCGTTTGGATTCTCGGTGGAGGAACGAGAGCGGCCAGGACGGTTAAACACAGAGCTGCTGAAAGAACTAGGTAACTTGTTAAAGGCAAAAAGCCTTATTTCCAGAAGGGGAAAAGCTGGTTCATTTATTATTATTTGTAATTGATTAATTTACTATTTAGCCGTTTATTTTAAAATATACACATATTACAGGTGCAATGAACCTGGAGTAACCGGAGGAAATTTATTTTTATTTTTATTTGTTTAAATCGAGTGCACAGCAATTAGGGAGAATTCTGGGATTCGCACTTTCTTTTTCAGTTACCAGCCTAGATTTCCAGAAGGCTGAAATGTGAATATGTTTTTAGATATGCAGTTCTACATTTAATATGTATAAAAAAATACTATGGTAAAATGATAGTTTGCTCCAATATGCTGTAGTTACTTATTGAGTTATTGTTACTTCCATAACTTCGGTATTTTTTATTTAACAAAATCGGAATACTTTTTCTGAATGTTTTAAATATATTTTATTAAATTGTGCTAGTTTAAGTTCTCTTAGGAAATTATATTACTCCGCAAGACTCATTGAATATTTCCAAAAAGTGGTAAATCGAATGCAATGAATGAATCCATAACAAATTAGGCCTATGAAGAGAATCCAGAATATGAAGATCCGGAATATTAAGAGAATCCAGTTATAAATGAAAGATCTAATCATTGGTTTTATTTTGAAAATAGAAATGACCAGACTGTATATAAGATATTGAATTGGTCCCGTGTATATTTATTGAAAGGAGAATCTTCCTTGATTGTAAATCATATTTTATTATAAAAGTGTCCTGCTTTAAGTTCTTTTACTCACAGTGCATTAATGGACCTTTTTTAAGTTTCTTCTGGAAAAAAAAATTTGTGTGAATAATATATATATATATATATATATATATATATAAACATTTTTTAAATCAACTATCAATTGGTTTATTTATCAGTTTGTAAAAAAAATTATATATAAATATATAATTTCTACTTATATGCAAATTGTTTTTTGTATATAATTTATTGAAGTATTGTTATTAAGGCTGATAAATATTATTATTCTTGAATTTTATATATTTTAATAATATAGCCTTTGATGCTGATATGGCTTAAAATGGTAAATATGATAATAATATTACTCGGCAAAAGTAATTTTTAACAGCGTCAACCCTGAATTGTTACGCAGCATGTAAATAACCAATGAAGCTGGCATGGTGTTACAACACCAACCAACCAGTTTTATACTACATCTGCTAATACAGTTCAAAAACCAGTAGTTAAGCAGATATGTTACCACATTGATTGAACTGTAAGATTAAGATTTTTTTTTAAATCTCGTTTTATGTCATCTTATGCAGGTTTGAAACCAGGACCTCTCTATGGGCGTCTGAAGAATGGCGAGTCTGTGACTCTAGAGAGTGGTCGTGTACTGAGCGCCGGCGAGGTGCTGGAGCCGCCGCTGAAGGGCCGTAAGGTGTGTGTGTTGGGCGACTGCAGCGCGCCGCTGGGGGAGGGGTTTAAACGGGCGTGTCAGGGGGCCGATGTGCTGGTGCACGAGGCCACACTGGAGGATGGGCAGCAGGAGAAGGCCGTGGAACATGGGCACAGCACTCCCAGCATGGCTGCTGCAGCGGCGCTCGCCTGCGGTGCACAAACACTGGTTCTGCACCACTTCAGTCAGCGCTACAAACCCCAAACACTGCGGCGGGACGGAGACGACGACGTGACCCAGCTTAAGAGACAGGCTGAGCTCGTGCTGCAGGGGTCGGGGATGGAGGTCATCCTCGCTGAAGACTTTCTCACACTGCCTATTGCGCTCAAGAAGAATTTGACACAGTAGTACCTTATGTATGGAAACATTTTTAATTATATTTTAATACAAGGAAAAATTTGAATAAAGTCTGCCATTTTTACCATTTTCTTGAGTGTTGTTTATTTAGAGCTGCGTTTGTGAGTAAATGTGTATTGATTGAGTGAGTGGTGTGTTAAATGTGTACGCCTCTCTGTTGGACATCCATGAGCAGGTAAGATTTTGTTTATTTATTGTTAATCATTTCATTTTCATAAACGGAGGCTGCTGGACCAGTGGACTGAGGTTTGTAAGTCTTGATGCATCTTATTTGTCTAATGACAGGTATAAATCATTTCAGTGTTGTGTATGATGATGCTTTACCCTACAAAGCCTACGGTTTCAGACCTCTAAATTATCAGCACGATTTAAACCTTTCTGAAAAACCTGTTGCACTCAATCTACTACATGCCTTCTGTCGTTTGATTGATAGTTTAGGCTTTTTAGTATAATTGTAAAAATCTTCAGCTCATCTTTGTATTGCATTACATTGTTTTATCATAAAAATAAGCATTTACATATCTTACTGAGACATTATTGGAATATACAGTGGTGTGAAAAAGTGTTGGCCCCCTTCCTGATTTCTTATTTTTTTTGCATGTTTGTCACACTTTAATGTTTCAGATCATCAAACAAATTTAAATATTAGTCAAAGATAACACAAGTAAACACAACATGCAGTTTTTATTATTAAGGGAAAACAAAATCCAAAACTACATGGCCCTGTGTGAAAAAGTGTTTGCCCCCCTGTTAAAACTGGTTTATCACACCTGAGTTCAATTTCTCTAGCCACTCCACACCTGTTCGCAATCAAGAAATCTCTTAAAGGGGTCATATGACGCGATTTCAATTTTTCCTTTCTCTTTGGAGTGTTACAAGCTCTTGGTGTATAAAGAAGATCTGTAAAGTTGCAAAGACAAAGTCTCAAATCCAAAGAGATATTATTTATAAAAGTTAAGAGTCAGCCACCCCTACCTAAAACGGCTCGTTCTAACACGCCCCCACATACCTACGTCACTATCTGGGAAGATTTGCATAACGCAAATCCCCACGCATAACGCAAATTGCCCAAATGTTCACGCAAAGAAAGAAGGCGTAACTTTTATTCTTGCTGTAGTATTGTTGTTGCCGCCGCCATGTCGTGAAGGCGCTGTGTGTTTCTTTGTGAAAGAAAAGAGGACGATATCTGCTTCGTCATGGCTAAAGCTGAGCCGTGCTGGTCGCTGAGGAAATACAACAGTATGGTGAGGGGTATAACATTTCTGTCTCACGCTTGAGGTATTCGGCCAATCACAGCACACTGGATAGCTGACCAATCACAGCACACCTCGCTTTTTCAGACCGATGAGCTTTGTAAAAATCGACGCATTTCAAAATTAGGTTTAGGGGGCAAACACTTCTTCACACAGGGCCATGTAGTTTGGGATTTTGTTTTCGCTTGATAATAAAAACCTTCATTTAAAAACTGCATGTTGTGTTATATTATACTAATATTTGAATTTGTTTGATCTGAAACATTAAAGTGTGACAAACATGCCAAAAAATAAGAAATCAGGAAGGGGGCCAACACTTTTTCACACCACTGTATGCATGTATTCTGCTATACCGTTATAAAGATCTCATTGATTTACATTACAAGCTATCAGAATTTCATCTTTCTTTTTTGCCACATAACCACCAAATTACATATTTTGCTCATAAAGGTCTCTGAATACAATTTTTTTCCCCCTTTTTTTTCTGTTTCCCACCTGGATCATACTATAAGGGCCATAAATGCCTATACAACTCGTGCTCAAATGTTTTATTTAAATTTTGTCCAATTGCTGGACAAGTGTTTTTTTCTGTTCGATTATTTCACATGTCAGGCTTTCCAGGGTTAATGGTAAGTAAAGCATGTATAATTTCTGTCATTAGCTGCACCGAAGTAAATTGCATGAACAATTTCTGTTTTTAATCATGTTTCAGACATGGTTGTTCTGCTCTAATTTCACACCTTAGCTTTACACACTCTCAAACAGATTTGCAATTCTCATTTGATGTTGCAATTGGTGCAGAAATTCAAACCTTTTTGCATTTATGTACAATGATGCACATTTAGGAGTAGGATTACTTTCTTTTTGTCACATAACCACCAAATTACATATTTTGCTCATAAAGGTCTCTGAATAAAATAGTTTTTTCCTTTTTTTTTTCTGTTTCCCTCCTGGATCATACTATAAGGGCCATAAATGCCTATACAACTCAGGTTCAAATGTTTTCTTTAAATTTTGTCCAATTGCTGGTTCAGGAAAAAAAAAGAAGTGTTTTTTTCTGTTCGATTATTTAATATGTCAGGCTTTCCAGGGTTAATGGTAAGTAAAGCATGTATAATTTCTGTCATTAGCTGCACCGAAGTAAATTGCATGAACAATTTCTGTTTTTAATCATGTTTCAGACATGGTTGTTCTGCTCTAATTTCACACCTTAGCTTTACACACTCTCAAACAGATTTGCAATTCTCATTTGATGTTGCAATTGGTGCAGAAATTCAAACCTTTTTGCATTTATGTACAATGATGCACATTTAGGAGTAGGATTGATTCTGCCTGCCATACAGGTTTAAAGATGTGTCAAGACAACAGATAAAAAAAATAAAAAAAATCCTAGTCTATAAGTGCCAAATCTTGAGTTATGTTCAGAAATGTACTGCATATACTACACACCGCCTTTGAACAGTATGCAGTATAATAAAAGCTTCAAACAGTTCTGTGCCACATTGTTGCATAACTTAGTCTGATCAAAAACCGAGCAAAGATTCGTGGAATGATGCACATTTAGGAGTAGGATTGATTCTGCCTGCCATACAGGTTTAAAGATGTGTCAAGACAACAGATAAAAAAAAAAAAAAAAATCCTAGTCTATAAGTGCCAAATCTTGAGTTATGTTCAGAAATTGTCTTGTGAAGCCAAAAGCTGTGCATTTGTAAGAAACAAATCCAATCAAGATGTTTTTTACTTCAAACTGTCGCTTCTGGCTAAAATGCAAGTCTGTAATCCATAATAACCAAAAAAGTCCCTCCCCTGTTGTCCTTTCACATCAAAATCCACTGACAATATTTGTTTAAAACTGTTTTGGACTGTGTTCACTTGTGAACGTACTTGATGGGTGCGTATTTCTCTTTTGATGCAGGCGAGATGACTTTTTCGCTGGAGAAATCAATTATTATGGACTTGTATTTTAGCTGGGTGCAATGATTTGAAGTTAAAAACGTCTTAATGTTGGATTTGTTTCTTACAATCGCAGAGTTTTGCTCTTCATGGGACGGTAACTGATGGACTGGAGTGGTTTGGATTATTGGGATGTTTTTATCAGCTCTCATTCTGACGGCACCCATTCACATCCATTGGTGAGCAAGTGATGTAATGCTACATTCCTCCAAATCTGTTCTGACGGAGAAACAAACGCATCTACATCTTGGATGGCCTGAGGGGGTGAGTATTATCAGCAGATTTTCATTTTCGGGTGAGCTATTCCTAGGATGTTAGAAATGGGAACTCTGTCCTGTATCGTAATTTCTGTAACCACGGTTTAGCTGTGATGTGTGAATGCATTTTATTTGTTCCTCAGGTGGCCGGTCGCAAAGGATTTCCTCATGTCATATACGCACGGCTGTGGCGATGGCCAGACCTGCACAAGAACGAGCTGAAACACGTGAAATACTGCCAGTTTGCCTTTGACCTGAAATATGACAGCGTGTGTGTGAACCCGTACCACTACGAGAGGGTCGTGTCTCCAAGCATCGGTGAATTGCCTTCTGTTATCTTGCTGTGATTTGAAACTTTCTTATCATGTAGAATAATTCTTATTTATAACATCTCTCTCTTTCCAGATCTGTCTGTTCTGACTCTGGGCGGCCCAGGTGAGGGTGCTCTTAATTAGTGCTGGGCGGTATACCGGTTCATACCGAATACTGGTGTTTTTTTTTGTTATGATATTAATTTTTTTAATACCGCAATACCGGTGTATGTCACTTAAACAACGTTGGGAACGCGACACTGTTTGAAACGGGTCCCTTTTCACTGTTGCACTGTGGTGAGGGAACAGCTGTATGTGTTACTAAGCGTGAAAGTTCTGAAACTGAAGCTGTAGAACTAATAGAACGTGATGACACAGAAGAACTCATCCACAATATCCACATTGACCATCAGCTCCCGCGTCTCACACACACACGAGCGCGACTTTAGCACTAGATTTAGCAACTTTCAGACCCTTTCAGTGGCTTTTATCCATACTGACAAACCTAGCGACTTTTTTTGGATAAAGCTTAGTTATGGTTCAGCTGGAAGATTTCGCCAGTGCTGTCCCGCGAGCGCAAGGTCTGACTTTCCCGGAGAAGTGTCACCTCTCTCGGCGTCTGTTCTGTGCAGTGAGCTGCAGAGAAGCACCGCAGCCGACTCATCAATAAATGAGTACAACACAGCGTTTCCAAGCACCTGTCGCTTACTGATTGTTTGGAATTATAAATATGAGCGTAGCTCGTCTGTTAATATCACATGCACTTTTATTTATTTTTAGTTTGTTACTCAGACGCAGGCAGTGCGCTGCATGAGACAAAAAAGTAATATAGCCTAAACAACCGCATAGCCACTCTTTAGTGTAGATGCATGCTGATTTTATCAGATGATGCCGCGATTATAAATGAGAGTGACTCCTGGTTAACACGTATTAAAATGAGTCGTGTTTAGTCACTATTTAGTGTGGTATTTTTGGACAATATTCACTCATCATGACAGTAAAATAGGGCATTCTAAGTCAATATACTGCAGTATTTCCTCTCAATCAGTAGAAAATATGGTTAACACCCGGTCATGCATGAAAAAAAAATACCGTCATGTACCATGAAACCGGTATAATTTAGAAAAATACCGTGATATCAATTTTTGGTCATACCACCCAGCACTACTCTTAATTTTTTTTTTCTTTTTCTTTTTTTTTTTCAATACTTATATTTACATATTGTTATATTTATTTTATTTTTTTTCATGTAAATTGTAAAATACTACCATTCAGAAGTTTAATGGATCAATAATAATAGCAATAATGGCATTTTATAATATTACAAAAACAAATTCTGTTTCAAAAGATGCTATTCTTTTGAACTTTCTAGGAAAAAAAGAAAAAGGATCATGGTTTATTTTAAAAGAATACTACGATATCAAATATTTCAAAAGAATATTATAATATAAAAAAGCATAACTGTTTAAAACTGATAATAATATATGTTTTTTGAGCAGCAAATCAGCATATTATAATGATTTCTGTAGGATCATGTGACACTGAAGACTGAAAATTCAGCTTTGCATCACAGAAGTAAATAGTATTTTAATATATATTCAACTGTAAAACTTGTATTTTAAATGGGAATAATATTTCACAATTTCTACTGTATTTTCGGTCAAATAAATGCAGCCTTGGTGAGCAGAAGTGACTTTCAAAAGAATGTAAAAACCTTACAGACCCCAATTTCTCCCACATCACTCTCTGACGTAGTTAAAAAAAAACGTTTAAATTCAAATCAATATTTCATGTCTTTTTATTTGCTAATTAGCTAGAAGGATAATATACAGTCTGTTACCTAGTGTATCAGATCAGATTGGTGAATAAGTGATTTGGCGTGTGTATGTGTAGGTCCGAGTGTAGATCCCCTGGTGAAGGATGAGTTCGATGCTCAGCCGTCTCATTCTGCTGCTGATGGACACACACTGCACACTGCCTCTTCCTCTGCCCCGCCTGATGCTTTCAACAGCCCAGCTGACTCCGCAAGCTCCGCCTCCACTTCCGCATTCACCAGTATGGCTGCCGGGCCAACCAGTGAGTCATTATTTCATGCTTTTGTACAACCAGCATCTCCTGTTTACATGGCATGCACCACTTCATACATCTTATAGCTATAAATCAACATGTTCCTGGCAATTGATGCTCTGATATAAGCTCTATGAGTGCTTGATATCCACATGTTTTCCTCCATTAGATGCCCCCAGCTCATGGCCTGGAGGAAGCAGTTTTCCTCCCAGCATCCCTCATCAGAACGGCCACCTGCAGCACCACCCTCCTCTTCCTCACATGGGCCAGTACTGTGCGTCACTAGAACCACCCCTAACTACCATCACTGCCTGTTTTACTCTCATCATTAAATGTTTCTCTTTGTGTGTCTTGGTCAGGGTCAGTCCATAATGAGCTGGCGTTTCAGCCGCCCTTATCCACCCATCCAGGTGAGGAATAAAACACACTGCATCCTAATTGACTGGAGATGCTATAGTATGTGAAATAAAAATTAAGGCCTGTTCACATCAACGATAACTATAACACCAACGCATGATAACATTCTGTTTATTATAAGCACATGCTGTAGTTTTGTTGTCTGCTGCTTTAAATGCTCAGGCTCTTTAAAGTCAGGTGGATTCTGATTGGCTGTCAATATTTTATCGTTCATAAGCTGGAAAAATTCTTCAGAGAGCGATTTCAATGACATCATTCCTCTGTGTTGTTATCATTATAGTTGTGATGTGAACTTCCCTATTCTTAATTAGCGATTAATTAACGATTCTTAAAACTTTAAAGTTATCGCTGTTGTCTATCGCAGTTATTATATAAACTTATTAAAAACATTTTTGCTAACACGTTACAATAAGGTTCCATTTGTTAACATTAGTTAACATCAAATAACAATGAACAAGTGTTTTTATTAACTATTATAAACAAAGATTAATAAAAACTGGATCACATGTATTGCTTATTGTTATTTAATGTTAGTTAATGCATTAACTAATGTTAATTGATGGGGCCTCGTTGTAAACTGTTACCACAGTTTTGTTAATTATTGTTTTTTAATAGAAATAAAAAAAGAATTGTTAATAGATGAAAAACCTGGTTAGCTGCCAAGGCAACATTTCACATTTTTGTTTAGTTTAAGTTGAAAGAAAATCTAAATAAATACATCTGAATAAGACAAAATTGAATCTAAAATGTAATATTAAAAAAAACGATGAAAATATGTAACAAAATTAGTAAACAATAAAAACTGAAAATCTCAAAAGCTAATTCAAAATATTAATAAAAGCTATAATACTATATAAATAACATTAAAATTACACTGTTGCCTTATCATAATATGCCAAAGATGTGTGGATCATACATTATTCCTGATGAATTTTGTATCTGTAGTATGCAGTATGTATGAATAAAAAGTATAATATGCATTGAGGGTTTTTGGGCTAATATTACCCACAACCCCTTGCAGAACAGAAGAGCTTGAGTTCATTTGACCAGTACATCACCTTATCATGTACTGTAGTGTTAGTATCGTAATGTGTTTTTACATGCAGCAATGTACAGTATGTACTTTCCCATCATCAGTGAAGTGCATCGAAGAACATTTTAATGTTAAGCTTTAGTTTAACATTTTAAATATGCATATTTCAGAATTCATATTAAAATCCTATGATCTAAGTGTTAAATGGACTAATTGAATTGTCATCGTGCTGTGTCTCTCAGCTCCAGATTGCTGGTGCTCGATTGCGTACTTTGAGATGGACATTCAGGCGGGTGAGACGTTTAAGGTGCCGTCTAACTGTCCCGTCGTAACGGTGGACGGTTATGTTGACCCGTCAGGGGGAGATCGCTTCTGCCTCGGCCAGCTGAGTAACGTACATCGCACAGAGGCCATCGAGAGAGCCAGGTATTATAATTATATAATTACTGGTAACCCTTATCAGTGGTATTTCAGTGTTATTGAGATACTATGATCGTTTTTATTCATATTGTGAATTCATTTATTTAATTTTTTTGCCTTTTCTGTTTTCAGTTTTAGTTAAAGGTTTTAGTAATTTTGTTATTTGTATTATTATTATATGTTATATGGTTTTTATTCATTTTATTTTATTACATCAAGTTAATAACTAAATGAAATGCAAGATAAGAATTAGTCTGTCCCAGACAGGGTTATCGTTATTTTTCATTTTCATTTTTGCTATTTGAAGTAAAGCTGGGTTATTCTAAAGTGACTTAAATAACGTCAAATAATCTAAATGTAGACTTTTAAAAATAGACGCGTCAAGTATTTGCTGTGTATTGGTTCAGGTTTGAGGCATACGATGTTCAAGGAAACCAAGACGCGCTAAAGCAGCGCATTCTGTTGTTTTCTTTATTTTTTTTAAAGGCATGACATTTTGTTTTATACTATTATATTATATTATATACCCAATTATTATATACTATTATATACCCAAATCAAAGCATTATTCTTTCCTTTTTGTATTAGTGTTTAAAATATTTATTTTGAAATGAATGAATTAATTACTTAATTAAACAAACAAACTTACTGGGGGACCAGGGTAGGCTATGACAGCTGTCATATCATACCCTGGCATGCCCAGCTGATGCAAAGCATAGAATTTATATCTACACAGAAGAAAGCCCAGGCTCTGCCACGGTACGGTTTGTGTCGAGCCATTCATTAGTCTGGTTGTTTGATGAGAAAAAGATTAAAAATGTAGTTGCAATAAAACTGGTTTAGAATTGCAGCAGCAGAGGACTAGTATTCTGCCGCACAGAACTGCAGAAGAACTGATGACGGGACGGCACGGTTTGATCTTCGGCTGACCAATCAGCAGAAAGGGGCGTTTAATTCCCGCCCACGTGTAGAAACCGAATATTCAAGCTGTTTATTCATTTTTCTACCCCCTGAACGAAAAACGAAAAATGAAGCCGAATTCTTGTTTTTCGCAAAAAATGAAAAAAAAAAAAAAACGAAAATTCTCATTTTCTACTTTCAATATTAAATAAAAAATCAAATGACCAAAAGATACACTGACCGCTAAGTTTCTTATTTCATTCTCATTGCCTAATGCTATGTTGGCAAATATGCTATCGTCAGATATTGCTCATTGTTTAAGGCTAGTTGTTCTGTAACATGTTTGCTAGGCAAGCTGTTGTATTTTGACACGCTGGTAACATTACCCAGTTAAAATTTCCACAGCGAGCCTTGTTTTAAATCTGTTGTTTAAGGCTGTCTGATATGAAATAGGCTTACTGCTTCAGGCTCATCTAGTATTGGGAATGCTGTTTCATTAAACTATTATTTCCAACACGTTTATGTCAGTGATATGCTGTTGCTTAAAGCTATCTAGTGTATCGGTAACGTAATGCTGTTTCATTAAACTATTATTTCCAACACGCAACACGTTTATGTCAGTGATATGCTGTTGCTTAAAGCTATCTAGTGTATCGGTAACGTGCTTGATACTTAATGCGCAGTATGTAGATTTTGCTACTAAGGTTGTTATTAATGCTAACGTTTATCTGGATAAGGGCAACATGCCTGTTGCCTAAATTTCGAGTATTGACCATATGCTGTACTGCATTAAAGGGGCTTGCTGCTCTTCTTAGCTGCTTATAAAGAAGAGCACCCCTTCGCTGCCACTCTCCGCCGGTAAGGGGCTTGCTGCTCAGCTGCTTATAAAGAAGAGCACCCCTTCGCTGCCACTCTCCGCCGGTAAGGGGCTTGCTGCTCAGCTGCTTATAAAGAAGAGCACCCCTTCGCTGCCACTCTCCGCCGGTAAGGGGCTTGCTGCTCAGCTGCTTATAAAGAAGAGCACCCCTTCGCTGCCACTCTCCGCCGGTAAGGGGCTTGCTGCTCAGCTGCTTATAAAGAAGAGCACCCCTTCGCTGCCACTGTCCTCCCGAAGGGGCAAGCTGCTCTTCTTACCTGCTCATAGCAGAAGAGCACCCCTTCAGTTAGATTGCTGTCAGCATGTGGTTTGTTTTGGAGGGTTATTTATGCTCTCCCTGCTCCTATCCATGCTAGGCTGCGTGGATGGGCAGAGAGTGTTGCCCAGAACAGAACCATACCCCCAACATAAAATGTATGCTAATTGTAAGTCATCTTTGACGATAGTGGTCCTGACAGAACCAACAGTGTTGAATGACATTATGCCAGTCGATTGGATTGTCTTTTCTCCTCCACGCCTACCCACAATCCTCCCTTCTGAGCTGCAAACAAGTAAAGCTTGTTTCTCTCTGTTTTCTGTCCTGCAGGCTTCACATCGGTAAAGGTGTTCAGCTGGAGTGTAAAGGCGAGGGTGACGTGTGGGTGCGCTGTCTCAGTGACCACGCTGTGTTTGTCCAGAGCTATTATCTGGACCGCGAGGCTGGACGAGCTCCAGGTGACGCCGTCCACAAGATTTACCCCAGTGCCTACATCAAGGTAACACGAGCGCTGACCTCCATCACCCACTCCACCTGCTTATTCACAGCATACTGAAATCTTCACCAAGAAACCAAAGTATCTTATTGGACATAGTACCATTATAATAGACTGATATTCTTTTGAAGTATAGAAATAGAAATGGCATATAAAAAGAAGTACTGTGGTATATGTGTATACAGTTTGAAGAAGCTACTTTTGATATTTTTTAGTAACTTTTTTTTTAGTTAGCCACACTACTACTAGTTAGTTTACTAACAAAAACAACTGTTAGGCAATTTAAGATGGCATTGTCTTTTTAAATGTAAAAAAAAAATGATTCAGTCATATTATTTAAGGTTATAATAAAAATGTTTGTAATATGTATATTATATATCATTAATAGCATGATTTTATATATATATATATATTTGTTTTCTACCACAATAGTATTCATATATAATAATTAGTAATCATTAGTAATTACATTTATATTTGCACAATGAAAGTATTAACAATATTAATTTAGATCTTGATCTATATTTACAATCAGAATATTAAATATTTAATCATTATTAGTTTACAAAATAATTTTTCTGTTTACAAACATCATGGTTTATCTCACCTAAGAACAATAAAGATCTCGGTTATTGTAACCGCATTGATCTTGCTGATACATTTACAGTAAATGCAACTAATAAAATTAGAAAAGTTGTGCGTGTATGGGCAGCAGAATTCATTTATGCTGGTCAAGTACCGAGTTAGCCACACTACTACTAGTTAGTCTACTAACAAAAACAACTGTTAGGCAATTTAAGATGGCATTGTCTTTTTAAATGTAAAAAAAAAATGATTCAGTCATATTATTTAAGGTTATAATAAAAATGTTTGTAATATGTATATTATATATCATTAATAGCATGATTTTATATATATATATATATATTTGTTTTCTACCACAATAGTATTCATATATAATAATTAGTAATCATTAGTAATTACATTTATATTTGCACAATGAAAGTATTAACAATATTAATTTAGATCTTGATCTATATTTACAATCAGAATATTAAATATTTAATCATTATTAGTTTACAAAATAATTTTTCTGTTTACAAACATCATGGTTTATCTCACCTAAGAACAATAAAGATCTCGGTTATTGTAACCGCATTGATCTTGCTGATACATTTACAGTAAATGCAACTAATAAAATTAGAAAAGTTGTGCGTGTATGGGCAGCAGAATTCATTTATGCTGGTCAAGTACCACATTTAAGATGTCGAAGTATCTTTTTGTAGTATTTGTGCTGCTTCAAGGCAGTGTAACAAGTTTGCATCCTAATAGTGTCCTTTGCGTGGCTTTAACTAACTCAAAGTGTACATTCAAGAGTAATTCAACACAGCATCTTCATCACTTCTGAATATCAAAGGCGTGAGGCTGCTTGACGTCTGTGTTTGGTGTCTGCAGGTGTTTGATCTGCGTCAGTGTCATCGGCAGATGCAGCAGCAGGCGGCGACGGCTCAGGCTGCGGTGGCTGCGCAGGCGGCTGCGGTGGCGGGAAACATCCCAGGCCCGGGTTCGGTGGGAGGCATCGCCCCTGCTATCAGTGAGTCTTACTAACTTTCATTTGTACATGCATAGATCCATATTACATCAGTTTTCTGCCATTATGCGAATAATGTGTGAACTTTTTTCTAAATGATTTTTGTGAGGTTCCATTAATTTGATTAATTTTAATTTTATTTTTTAATTCTGGAATGAAGTAATTTATGACATTCAGTTCTGTTAACAATTTTTTTAAAATACTGGAGCCAAGTGATTCATGATGTTCGGATCCTGTAATGATTCTTTATTTAATTTTTAATTTTTATTTTCATGACAATCAGGTCCTATAATCGTTCATTAAAACCAAATGATTTTCATGGTGTTTGTTTCTGTTAACCGTTCTGTAACAAAAAATACTGAAACTACAAATGATTTTCGTGACATTCTGCTCTAGTAGCTTTTTTTTTATTATTATTATTATTATTATTAGAAACAAATAATTTGATGACATTAATTTCTGTTAACAGTTCTTAAAAAAAAATAAAAAATAAAAAATACTGGAACCAACTTTTTTCATGAGATTGGATTTCGTTAATTTTATTTATTTATTTATTTTTTTTAACGGTTGTTTTATTTGTACCATATGATTTTATTGGCGTTCAATTCTGTTAATGGTTCTTGAACATCTGGATTCTCCCGCCGATGCAGTGTACTAAAATACCCTGGCAGTGTTTCCTTAGTTTAGTAATGATCCCTCCGCCTGTCCTCAGGTCTGTCTGCCGCGGCAGGCATCGGCGTGGACGACCTGCGGCGTCTCTGCATTCTGCGCATGAGTTTCGTGAAGGGCTGGGGTCCCGATTACCCTCGCCAGAACATCAAGGAGACCCCGTGCTGGATAGAAATTAATTTGCACCGCGCTCTGCAGCTCTTGGATGAGGTTCTGCACACCATGCCTATAGCCGACCCGCAACCTCTGGACTGATGCTTGAACATTTAACCTTCAACATTATTACAGTGCACATAGCTCAAAATGACTCCGCTGACCTTTGACCTTAGCCACGAACGTCTTGACTGATTTGTTACGCCGTCTGGCAAAACGTTGAAAACCAGCAATACTACAAAACAACACTAACTATCTATCCAACAGGACTGTTCATCAAACCAGTAAAATCACCCTTTTTTGAGACCTTGACTTTTGAATTTCAAACTGTAGAGACTTCATATTGCATTTAATCCAGTGTTAGTCAGACGTGTACGGTGGCCACATACACACTGCAGTGAAAAACAGATGTCACTGCTCTTCAGAGTTTGATGTTCTGTGCACATGATCATTCACACATCAAAGATGAACCTTGCGCAAATCATCCGAAAAAAATCGAATGCAATAGTTTTATGACTAATTTACTAAGAAATGTATCTTTCGTTGTAGTTCGTAAAACCAAAAATTCCATATTACGTAAATTGTTGCATTCATTAACGATTATGTAAAAAAATTATGTAAATAATTGCATTAAATTGAATGCAGGTAATTTAGGTAACAATGGTTTTGTGGCTTATGGATTATGTAATTTGCATTGATTTGAACGCAACAATTTACACAATCCAGAAATTGCAAAACCATTCTTTTTGTATACTACCGTTCAAAAGATTTCTTGAACGGCAAATCAGCATATTCCAATGATTTCTGAAGGATCATGTGTAGTAATGATGCTGAAAATTTAGCTTTGCATCACAGGAATAAATTACATTTTACAATATATTACGATAGAAAACTGTTATTTTAAATTGAAAAATATTTCAGAATATTACTGATTTTTGTTCTGTATTTTTGATCAAATAAATACAGCCTACATAAGACTTCTTTCAAAAACATAAAAAATGTTGAACTAGAACGGTAGTGTAAATTAATTATTTAATTTAATGCAACAATTTACATCATTTTATGCAACGGAAACAATCACAAAACAAGCTGAATATTTACACAAATTAAATATTTATATAATTTGCATTGATTTGAATGCAGCAGTTCATGTTTCACAAACTAAAATTGACAGAAATTTGTTCAGCTATATACATATCAGAAATGATATTTTATGAGCATGTAATGCCTAAATTCGACTTGTTTTGTTCAGCTTGTTTTTGAGTAACTTATGAGATTCACTTTTGTCACTTCCAAATCGTTGCAATGAGTATGTGGCCAGAATATTGTCCTTTGTGTGTGTTAATTTGTTTTTTATTTTGCATTTGTTATAACTTTAATGCTAACTCCTTTATGTCAAGCACTCGATTACTTTATCAGCTGTAAAGATTTTCCCTGGAAGGGCTTCGTCTCATCAAGCTGCAGTCAGAATGAAAACGGGCTCATCCTGCATCCAGATCTGTTTTAGACTATTAGAAGACATGAATTATGATTTCTTGGAGTTGGAGCCAAACGCATTTTGTCTTTGATACTAAACCTTCCCTCTGTTTAGCCCAGGTGGGTTAGATACAGTTAATAGCGATTGTTTCATTGTACTAACCAGTTTTGTCCTCTCAATGCATGTGCGTTTTTTATGATTTTTTTTTTAGTGATGCATGTTCATGTTGGCATGGAGATGGAGCAACCTGGGATAAAGAGTTGGGAACAGTATTGAATATGAAGGTATGTTCAGAATGGCATACTACTATTTTTGCAGTGTGCAGTATATTGTTCATAGTACATACATGATCAGATAGCACAATGCATAATGATCGATTTGATGGATTGTCAGTGTGATTAAACTAGAGTAATAAACATACTGAAGAAATGTGAGACTCAGTATTTGATCAGAGTACCAAAAGTTGAAGATATTACATAAAAATGAGATTACAAATGCAAAATAAGAGCACTCATTTCCACTGTTGATAACTGGATGCCACTTGAATTAAACATGCAACTTGGCACAAGGTGAAAATAATAAAAAAAACGACAGTTTGAAGTGTTTAGCATTGTGTATTACAGACTATTTCACATATTTAAAAACCAGTATGCAGTATGTACTGCGTAGTACACTAGTATTTTATTCTGAAAACAGTGTGTGTGACTTGTGCAGGCTGATGGAGATTTTCCGGTGTGTTTCTGCACTTATTAGTGCTTTTCTGTTCATGCTCATCGACATAATGACTTAATCTGATCAACAGAAGACTGACTGAAACATACTATTACAGTACTGTAGATATGAGAATACAGTAATTATATTTCATGGCTTTCAGTCATTAATGTCATTTAACAATGCAGCTGTTCTTTCTGAAACTATTAAATGTGACAAACTGGTTTGTATTTTTATTTTTTTTATGTTTGTCATTATATAAAATTGCATCAGTGTTTTTTGTGTAAAAATCAGAAGCTGTATGGATTACCTTGAGGCTGAAAAATGACCATGGTACAAAAAGTTTCTACTAAAATGCAACGGTTTCCACTGCACTGAAATCAATATAATTTATGACTGCAGTATTTTTGCTGAAAATGTGGTTACAATGGCAGTTTTCATAAGGGAGAACTATACTACCAAACTTTGTGCTTTTCATGAATTTCATCAGATATTTTATTCATAGATTCATTTTTGCAACAGCAATTCGACCGCAGCTTGGGATGCAAAAATACGGATGAGCCCTAGCTGAAGGTAAAACTCAAATCACACAGAGCACATAGGTTTTAAATGAAACAATTTATTAAGGAACTTTTAATATCAGAAAAATAAAAATCTTGATTCTTTTTTACAGCAAATATATAATATCAGTGCTTTGGCCACAGGACAGTAAGGCCATTTATCATAAAATATATTTTAAACTTTAAGAATACAACTTATATGCCTTTAAATGTCCCTGCATAAACGTATATACATATTAAAAGAACAGTAAAATTATCAAATACAGAAACATTGTTGCAGTGTGATGGTAAAAAATCCCTCTGATAAACATAAAATTCCTAGTCATGTTTAACTTAGGACTTTTATTTTGTTCATAATGTGGTAGTATGCAGACCTAATGCAGCATGTATGTGTATATATATATATATATACACACACATCTATATTAGATCCTTAGCTTTTTTTTGTTGCAGTTTAGGAATTGTTAGATAATAAAACATGCAGGTGTGCTCTTTCCTGCTCTATAATAATTAACATCAATACTCTACAAGCTAATACTTACGGCAGCCGACTGCTCGCCAGATAGTCTTAATATATATCTTAAATCTTAATATATATGTATTTGAATATGAAATATAAACTACAGAAATACAACAAAATTGTAAAAAAAAAAAAAACTTTCATGGTGAATCTTGAGAGGTTATGGATCTCCGATGCCTTAGTTTCTTTGTTTAGTGGTGTCTGCACAAAGTAACCAGGCGCAAGTAGCCGTGTCAACCTACACTTTGAAAAGTTTATACCACATTATCTTTGACAAAATCACTCCTCTCAGGTCCTAAACGACCCGCTCCTCTCGGTACGACACCGTGCGATGTCCTGGCAGGACCCATTCGTTTAAGGCAAAGAGAGGAGTCATAAACACATACTGTAATGCAACCTACGAAAAAGGGCCTCGTGCGTGAAACAGTTCACTCTAGTTAATGTTTCCATCAAAAGTTGTGAATTATACTCGTGTGAAACATTGGAATACCGCATAACACATTTGAGAATGAAACACCATGCGTTCAAGAGAATAAAGTCTACACTCCTGGAAAAATGAGTATTAAAATAATAAAAAGTTGGTGCTTTTGGGGAAGCCTGATGTTTGGGAAAGCAATTGTGTGCTGACTTTAGTATTGCACATCCAGGAATCGAGCATGACATTTTCAATGTGCATTATTTATTTATTTTATTGCACATCTTGGCACTTCCATCTAGTGCTGTCAAACGATTAATCGCATCCAAAATAAGTTTTTGTTTACATAATATATGTATGTGTACTGTGTATTTATGTATATATTAAAGAAAAATATGTTGTTTATATATTAAATATATTTATATAATATAAATATAAATTTATACATATAAATACACGTAAATATTTTCTCTCTCTATATATAATATACACAAAGTACACATAAATATTATGTAAACAAAAACTTTTATTTCGGATGCGATTAATCGCGATTAATCGTTTGACAGCACTACTTCCATCCAGCTTTTTAAATACGATATCCCAAATTTTGCATACAGATATGTGGATGGAAACATTTAATTGAATGTGAAATTGGTTTGAAACACAAGCAATGTTTACATTTATCTAAAAACTACCTGCATGTAATTTGACAGTTTAACACAGCAATTTATGCACAAACTGATTCATGAGCAATTCATTCACGCAAATTAATTTAGTTCACGTTTAAAGAAATACTTCACCTGAAATTGAAAATGTTGTCACCTTCAGGCCATCCAAGATGTAGATGATTGTTTCTTCATCAGAACAGATATGGAGAAATTTTGCATTGCATCACTTGCTCACCAATGGATGCTCTGCAGTGAATGGGTGCCGTCAGAATGAGTCCAAACAGCTGATAAAAACATCACAATAATCCACAAAAAATCCACACCACTCCAGTCCATCAGTTAACATCTTGTGAAGAGTTGCATGTTTGTAAGAAACAAATCCATCATTAAGATGTTTTAACTTCAAACCGTCTAAAATAAGGGTCCGCTATCCATAATATTGCTTTCTCCATTGGAGAGCAAGTGAAGTAACGTTACATTTCTCCAAATCTGTTCTGATGAAGAAACAAACTCATTCATCTCGGATGGCCTGAGGGTGAGTACATTTTCAGCAAATTTTATTTAACTATTCCTATAATGAGGACAAGCAATGCCCTTCAATTTCGTATTGCGTACGGAGATGCTCAAAGTGGTCCCTTAGGTGGCGTTCAGGACGGCTCTTTATGATCGCGTACTGCTCGACTCTAGTGTTGTGAAACAGAAACTAAAGACCACAGATGCTTTCGCAGCAACATCGCCAATCCACACCACCACCTTCATGGAATCAGGCACATGGAAATGTAAACAAACAAGTCCATACTTTGAAAACAAAACAACAAAAAACACAAGTGATGGCAATTTAGCACTGCTAAACCCCAGCACCGCTCGCCGCGACAACTAAACGCAAATCTTTGAGATGAACTCAACGGTGGTTATTAATCAAAAACCTTATTTCAACGTAATAAGAAGTATTTCAATGTAAAAAAATTAACCCAGTTTACTCCTCCCCATCCCAATTTTTTTCCTCTCTCTATGCGTTTTGCAGGATGGAGTTGGAACACTCCAAACAAACAAGGTTTTGCCCGCCCAGGACAAGCGCCGCCACGTTGTCTCCGCAGCGTACGCACGCAGGAGCTTGGCTGTGTTTGGGGTAAGTGCGCATGTCCGGCGGAGAGCTGGAGCCTGTGCTGTCGCTAGACGGGGAAAACACAGAACCAAAGGCCGGGAGGCTCTGGGAATTCTCCTGCACTAACCGAACCAGCGGATGATCCTCCGGAAGAGACGGAGACAGACGGGCCAGAATGGACGGAGAGAGCCTCGGCGTAGTGGGCAAACTCGCTCCTCCCTGCTCGAGAGCGCTCCACAATGATGGATTGGCGGATGGCGCCATCATCGTTAGCCCGTCGTATCCCACAGGATCTTCGGATCCCAAAGGCAACTGGGAATCGCCAAACCAGAATGTGCCTCCGCTGCTGCCGGGACTGAGATCCGCCACTGCGCTGCCTTTCCCGCTGTAGTAGGACTCGCTAGAGCTGCTTCCGAGCGAGCTGGAGCTGTCGTTGCGATAGCCCGTGGCGTTGCTGTGGAAGTTTGAAACGCTGCCAGAGAAGAGCCAGGCTCTGTTGCCGCCCGACTCGAAACCAACGTCGGTGCCGTTGTAGTGGAAATCATCATCGTCCACAGTGGTGTCCACGCTTCCTGCGGTACGCGTCACAATATGAGACTCGATCTCCTCTCGGGCTCGGTCTATATTCTCGGGCATCCCGGTCACCTCAAACACCGGTTCTTTGTCGCGGCTTGGCGTGACGATGTAGGTGTGGGTTTGCTGCTGGATCCTCTTGATAGTCGCTCCTTTTGGCCCCACCACGAGCCCTACCATTCGATACGGCACCCGAACCTGGATGGTGGTCTGTCCCGGATGGCAAGGATTGCTGTTTGTCGGTGCCACTTTGTTCCGAGACGCCCGGATGAGGGAAAAATGCTCGGCCGCGGACAGAATCTCACGCTTGGCCGTGATGACGTCCTCCTTCCGGCCGGTCACTACAAACATGGGCTCCTCTCCTCTCACGGGGGTTTTGATGTAAGTGTTGGTCTTTGCTCTCAGAGCTTTGATTTTGCAACCTGTGGAGAACAGAAATACAAAGACAAGTCAACACTTCGCTAGCTTAAGAAGACATCAATCAATCAATCAATCACAGGCATAGACAAGTGAGCTCTTCTCAGGAGTGATTAGTGCAGTCCTGGATGCTGATTGGTCAATACTAACAGACTTGATATGGTAACAGGGGTTGTCAGTGTGTTAGTTCACATGTTAGTATTACACAACTTGTTTTCATCCAGTGCAGTGAAGAAACATCACGTCACTACAGATAAGTGTGCATGACACATGCAGTTCAATGAGGTCAGTGCAAGCATATATTATTAAAACCATTTTCATCACGGTTTCATTATGAATGTGCTGATATTGAGAAATTGGCCCACACACATTACAAATAATTATGACTAATGATCAGGCTTATTACTAATATTAAAAATAAATAAGGTTTTGTCTTTTAACTTTTTTTTTAAAACTAAATCAAATATTTTGAATTAGTTTTTATTTCTAGTTTGCATTTTATTTGAATTTTAGTTAAAGTTTTAGTAATAGTTTTTTTTTTGTGCCATTTTTAGTAGTTTTTGTTTTATTTATTTAGACAATGTCTATTTTTATTGTCTAATTTATGAATTTGTATTTCAGTTTTAGTGTATCTAGTTAGTTATTTTAGTTACACTAAAATAAAATAAGAAATGTTGCCAACTGAAATGTGTTTTTTTTTATATTTGACTTTTTTTCAGTTAACATTTATTTTTGCTCAAGTACTGAAATGGGCTTTTTTAATGGTTTTAGTTTCTGTTTGAATTAACAATATAATAACCCTAGTTCAAAGTTAATTCAGGTTTTGAAATCTAGGCTACTACAAAAGATGGATAACTTTTTTTTTTTTTATGTAAAACTTTCTGGTAACTAAACTGGCACTTTAATGTAAATACAAAATATATATTTTCTAACAAAATATTTAGGTAAAATTATATTAAAATGTTTATATTAATATGATTATTTTATTAATAATATAAAAAGGTTATACTACATTGCATTCTATTCTTATATATGTATTATTAATATAATTAAATATACTATATTCATAATTTTGTTAATTATATATAATTTATTTTTGTTTAGATGTGTGTATATATATATATATATACAAAACATAATAATTTTTTTCATGAGGTGAGGTCTGTGAGAATATCAGCAGGGCGAGTACAAATATGAATCACTAATCCAACTGGCCTCCTTATTGTTGAACACTGTTGAAAAGTGAGACACGATGAATCACGATATTAGAATATCAAACATGACACATTAGCAATCAAACAAACCCACCCTGCCGACCAACTATTTCCGCCACATGCTCAGATGTGGGCACCATCACGCACTCTGTTGTGTTCACGCTCTTCCTCCTGGTATTGAGCGCACACCTCTCACCCTCCTGCATCATCATCATCGCCATCATCATGCTCCCCTGAACCTGATAGCCCTGGGACTCGCCCAGCCCGTCCAGGAAGAGCACACCGGTCCCCGGGGCCTCCATGGCTGTGAGGGCCCGGGCCCTCAGCTGGTCCAGATCAGCATCATGTCTGATGATGTTGTTATTGTTAGTGTTGGTGGTGTTTTCCTCCTCTGATCCAGTTTGGGACAAGGGCTGGAGGTCCAAAACCGCACCCAGGACACCCAGATGAGAAGTATCATGTAACGTTAGTTCTGATGGACTCTCTTCATCCCGGAGGCTCATCCCGCTCAGGTTCTGTACCGGTACCGGGAGGTCCGGGTCAGTATCGTCGGACTCCAGGAGTTGAGCCGTGTTACTGGGCATGCTCGACCAACAACGTGTCCTACTTTCACTGCGGGACACACATAAACAAACAAAAGTGCCACGACAATGAGTTCTCCGCGCTCTCGTTACTGTATTAAAGTGTACAGAAATAGATTAAGTGATTCGTAAAGTGTGTTCAGTGTATTTCAACTTACAGCTGATGTTTTTAGCAGCGGCAACCGTGGTTCCGTGACCCTGTTCTGCTGAATCTCTTTGTTTACGGTTCTTCGGGGATCCTCGCTCAGGTTCGTGAACAGCGATCTGCCGCCGCAGCGCCACACACCGGCGCGGATGAACAGTGCAGTTTTCGTTTTAGCCACAGTAGCCCTTCACTGCAGAACGCAAGATACAGGGGGCGTGATTGGATCCACATCTAGGGGGTGGAGATCGATAGGTTTAGGGCTGGAGATGGGTGGCTTTAGGGCTCAGGGGGTGGAGACGGGTAGGTTTCGGGGTGGAGATGGGTGGGTTTAGGAATCGGGGTGGAGTCGGGTAGGTTTAGGGGTGGAGATGGGTGGCTTTAGGGCTCAGGGGGTGGAGACGGGTAGGTTTCGGGGTGGAGATGGGTGGGTTTAGGAATCGGGGTGGAGTCGGGTAGGTTTAGGGGTGGAGATGGGTGGCTTTAGGGCTCAGGGGTTGAGACGGGTAGGTTTAGGGGTGGTGATAGGTGGGATTATGGATCAGTGGGTGGAGATTGATAGGTTTAGGGCTGGAGATGGATGGGTTTAGGGCTCAGGGGGTGGATACGGGTAGGTTTGGGGGTGGAGATGGCTGGGTTTAGGAATCGGGGTGGAGACGGGTAGGTTTAGGGGTGGAGATGGGTGGGTTTAGGGCTCAGGGGGTGGAGACTGGGTTAGGGTTAGGGGTTAGGAGACGGGTAGGTTTAGGGGTGGAGATGGGTGGCTTTAGGGCTCAGGGGTTGAGACGGGTAGGTTTAGGGGTGGAGATAGGTGGGTTTAGGGATCAGGGGGTGGAGATTGATAGGTTTAGGGCTGGCGATGGATGGGTTTAGGGCTCAGGGGGTGGATACGGATAGGTTTAGGGGTGGAGATGGCTGGGTTTAGGAATCGGGGTGGAGACGGGTAGGTTTAGGGGTGGAGATGGCTGGGTTTAGGAATCGGGGTGGAGACGGGTAGGTTTAGGGGTGGAGATGGGTGGCTTTAGGGCTCAGGGGTTGAGACGGGTAGGTTTAGGGGTGGAGATAGGTGGGTTTAGGGATCAGGGGGTGGAGATTGATAGGTTTAGGGCTGGAGATGGATGGGTTTAGGGCTCAGGGGGTGGATATGGGTAGGTATAGGGGTGGAGATGGCTGGGTTTAGGAATCGGGGTGGAGACGGGTAGGTTTAGGGGTGGAGATGGCTGGGTTTAGGAATCGGGGTGGAGACGGGTAGGTTTAGGGGTGGAGATGGCTGGGTTTAGGAATCGGGGTGGAGACGGGTAGGTTTAGGGGTGGAGATGGCTGGGTTTAGGAATCGGGGTGGAGACGGGTAGGTTTAGGGGTGGAGATGGGTGGGTTTAGGAATCGGGGTGGAGTCGGGTAGGTTTAGGGCTGGAGATGGGTGGGTTTAGGGCTTAGGGCGTGGAGATTGGGTTAGGGTTAGGGTTAGGGGTTAGGAGACGGGTAGGTTTAGGAATCAGGGGGTGGAGACAGGTGGGTTTAGGGATCGGGGTGGAGTCGGGTAGGTTTAGGGGTGGAGATGGGTGGGGTTAGGGATCAGGGGGTGGAGACGGGTAGGTTTAGGGATCAGGGGGTGGAGACGGGTAGGTTTTGTGCTGGATATGGGTGGTTTTTGGGATCACAGGGTGGAGACGGGTGGGTTTAGGGATCAGGGGCTGGAGACAGGTAGGTTTAGGGCTGGAGATGGGTGGGTTTATGGATCAGGGGGTGGAGACGGGTAGGTTTAGGGCTGGAGACGGGTGGGTTTAGGGATCAGGGGGTGGAGACGGGTAGGTTTAAGTATATGTAAGGTGGGATGAGTTGGATCTAGATCAACCCCCTGGATCTGCAGTGAGGACCATCTCGTTTTAGCAGCCAAAACATTATATGTCTATTTATTTGGGCCATAAAACACTTTAGAGGAACTATAATAATAAATCTATGACTAATTTTAAATTATAAAATAAAAAAAATAAAAAAATAAATACAATTTACTCTAGTTTCTCTTGCTTTGTTCTTTCGCTTCTGCTTTGGGCATTTTTTCTGTTAGGAAATTTCCGATGAAATTCAATATCGTGACGTTGATAACATTGGTTTCTTTATTTATAAATTTCATGTTTTTCTTTAGCAGCCAAAACTTTACATTTTCAATTTATTTTGGCTGTAAGAAATACTTCAGAGAGGAACTATAAATTAATGGAACTTTTTAAATGATTAAAAAGATATGATTTCCTCAAGTTTCTCATTTGTTTTGTGATTTCACTTCTGCTTTAGGCTTTTTCTGTGACGCTGCTAATACTGTATTAGGCTCTTCGTTTATTTTTTTAGGCTATAGGCCTACATTGCTTGTGCTTTTCCTCATTTGTTTGTACTTTAAAAAAAAAAATATATAACTTATATTAGTTATAAAGTTTATATATTTATAAATGTTATTTATTTTTTATAAATATAAATATATATTTATAAAATTATATTAATAATTTTTATACACTTCAGCAAGTAATATAGGCCTAAATTTATAAAATCTAAAGTGTATAAATAAGTCGATTTTGTTTGTTTAACAAATGATGTAAAAAAGCGATGTTTTATTCAGTCATTGTGTTTGTTTATGTTGTCGTTATGTTAGTTTTATTAACATCATTTTTATCGTTATCGTTTTATCGTTACTTAATCATTATTATTATTATTTTAGTGTTTAACCTTGTTAAAAAAATGAATAAATGTTGGCTTGTTTGATTATTTATTGAGGTTTGAATGAAGTTAGACGCAGAGAATGAACACTTTTCTCTTCATAGTTTAGTGTTTTTCCTCCCGTGACTGCGTTTCAGTGTCCAGGCAACGAATTAGCTCATGAATATTAAGCAGGTTAAGTGGCTGGCGGCTTCAGGAAGTTTACGAACGTCTCTATTTACCTAATTAATATTCATGAACACCGACGCCCAGGCAACGCGGCGACGCACTCCAGTGACACTTCACTGCTCTCACACTGTTACATTAGTTAATTACACACGTTTCATCGCTGTAAAATATAAATAATGAATCAGCATGTATGATCGAGCTCCCAGGTTCGCACATTTGACATTAAGCGGCACCACGTCTGAAATTGGACCAGGATCGTATAATATCAGCAGGTCTCTGAGCGGTAAAAGGGGTGAGTTTCATTTTTGGACAGGAAATGGTCATTATGTTTAAAACCTAAACCTGACAAGAAGCTCAGAAATGACTCTTAAGAGGTTCTTCAGTGCTTCTCTGCAGCCTTCCTCTTCTTCTTCTTCCCAAGATCCATTTTTCTTTTCTATGAAGAGTTCTTGATGTTTCATTAGGCTATAGGTTTTTAAGATCATACAGTGTTTTATTTAAAGGACTAGTATATAGATGCATTTTCTAAAAACTGGAGAATAAAGAATTCAAAAAGTTTCTCATATGGCATTAGATTGTGCATGCAAACTTTTTTAGTTATTATTTGTTTGGGCACCTGTGATCATCTACAAGGTGGGGTCGAAGATAGACCTCGAGGGCCCCTTTATCCGACGCCGCCTCCCCCGAGTCGATAGCCCCCCGGGGGCCGGGGATAGCGCCCCCCAAAGTTGAACATTTTGACCGGCTATATCTCGCTGAGGCCGAGGCCGGACCCTGCCAAACTCAGGTCGGGGATAGACCCCGAGGCCCCCTATCCGACGCCACCTCCCACGAGTCGATAGCCCCCCGGGGGCCGGGGATAGTCCCTCCCAAAGTTGAAATTTTGACTGGCTATATTGTATAGTATACTATATACTATATATAGGATAATATATATTTTTATTAATTTATTATTATTGTTGCTAAGAATAATATGAATTATATATGTATGTATCATGTATGTATTTACACTGAACAAAATTTAGTATATAATACCTTTTATTGTGGCCAGCCTAAGGCACACCTGTGCAATAATCATGCTGTCTAATCAGCATCTTGATATGCCACACCTGTGAGGTGGATGGATTATCTCGGCAAAGGAGAAGTGCTCACTAACACAGACTTAGACAGATTTGTGAACAATATTTGAGAGAAATAGGCCTTTTGTGTACATAGAAAAAGTCTTAGATCTTTGAGTTCAGCTCATGACAAATGGGGGCAAAATCAAAAGTGTTGCGTTTATGATTTTGTTCAGTGTATTTATCATTTCTATCTGTTTCTCCAGATTCGTATGCCCCCTTCCTCTCGCTGTCCAGTAGAGAGTCTGGGTTCCTGGGGTCAGGCAGTGGTCCCCTCGCTCCTGGACCAGGACAGTACAACAGTGACATCAACAGGGTACATAACATTTTTTTTTATAACATCACCTCGCAAGCAATTAATATCAGTGATGAATGCGAACTTATAACTGGAATCTTGCAGAATCACATTTTGGGAGGAAAGAGTCTTCAGAATCGCTGCAAGCGCTTTGATGACGTGGTGTCAGATGTGCCGGGACCGGGAGCGTACAATGTTACAAACGATGTTTCACCTGCAGGGAAAAGACAAACCAATCCAGAGAAGAGCCCAAAGGTGAGACATTAGTTTGGGTTATCAAATGGACTCATTTTTTTATTATGATGCGATATCAAGTTACATATAACCATTTATCCAAGTGTTGTTAAAAATGTAACAATAAAACTAATGATATTTTGTAACCAATTATAATAAATTGTATTTTATAGCAAATTATATTTGTTATAAAAATATAACTAATTATTCTGTATGTGACCCTGGAGCACAAAACCAGTCATAAGGGTACATTTTTCGAAATTGAGATTTATGCATCATCTGAAAGCTGAATAAATAAGCTCTCCATTGATGTAAGGTTTGTTAGGACAATATTTGGTCGAGATACAACAATTAGAAAATCTGGAATCTGAGGGTGCAAAAACATCAAAATATTGAGAAAAGTGCCTTTAAAGTTGTTCAAATGAAGTTCTTAGAAATGCATATTACTAATCAAAAATGAAGTTTTGATATATTTACGGTAGGACATTTACAAAATATCTTCATGGAACATGACCTTTACTTAATATCCTAATGATTTTTGGCATAAAAGA